GCGGGGGGGGGCAGGGGGACAAATCCACCACCAAAGCCAAAAAATGCAGATGCCAGATATATTTTTCAAAAATATTTTTGTTTAGAGTGTTGTCCAGATTTAATTAAAAATATTTTTAATTCGTTTGTAAATAAAAATTTTAACTTGTAAAAATTGATAAGAATATATAAATATGTTATTTTAACAACTTTTTACAAGTCAAATAATTTTATTTTCAAATAAATTAATATAAATATGGAAATGTTTTGAATTAAATTTACACTGTACTATATTAATTTATATTTGTTAATATTTATTCCTATCTCATATTAAATATATATTTAATTACATCTATTATCATATTCATCACTAAGTTTATCAATTAATTTCGATTTCAAGTTTTTCAGCTTAATATTATCTTATTATTTTCAAATTTTTAGTGGCGTAATATTTACCATATATAAATTTCTAGTCAAATAATAATTATTCTGAAATTGTCCAACAGGGAGAAAGAAATTGCAACCTTGTCCTACGAGATAGAGTCTCCGCCATCAAGCAGTAACAGCTTTTATGGAGTTAGAAGAGCCGATTATTTGCTATTACTGACATATCACAATGGCCTGAAAGAAATTTTTCCTTAGAAGCAGGAAAATTAATGGATTCAATGCTTATTCCAAATTTTTTTTCTCATTAGAATGTATAATTATTTTATGTATTACTTTTCAAAAACATGACATGATGACTTGATTAAGAAGATGAGAATAGCGGAGAGCATTTTATTAGAATTCAAGGAAATTAGGGCTAATGTTAATGAAGAATTTCATATTTTATATGTTATTGTTAAGTCAAAAGCAGAGCTATAGGTGTTTAATATTTGTCTCACTCGACTTGCAGCAAGGCAAGCTCATAGTTAAAACATTAATATAGGACCAGTAGAAGAGTATATCTTAGATACAAATTTATAAACCAAATAAATGAATGGTTTTTAATTCATTATGCAGCACTTACCAATCTGCAAATATTATTTCCATAAAAGCCTTCCCAACCTTTTTCAGATGGTGATAGAAAAAAAAATATTTGTTGGATTTTTATCATGAAGATGTTAAAGTGTCTTATGATGCCTTATTAGCTGAATAACTATGTTTATAAGATTAACTATGGTTGATACAGTCCCAAAAAATGCTTTGGATGCTCTGCATTATTTTAAACACATTTTAGATTATATTCCCAATGTATTAAAAGAGTTTAGATATATATTAGCAACTCTTCCCAATAATAAACTAATGAGAGAACATTCTCTTTTTTAAGAAGAATATCAGAGCCCTGCAGAGATACTATTTGCGGGGCACGACCCGGATTTTTTTAAAGATTATTACGGATAAGCTCAATTTTCAGGCCCGGCCCGGCCTTTTTTAAAATAAAATTTTCAGGCCCGACCCGGATTTTTTTAAAATAAATTTTATTTATTTTTGATTTTTATAGCTAATAATAACGATTTCAAATATAGGCTGTTTTAAAATATACAATCCGGCCCGGATATTTTTTTAAAAAAAATTTTCAGGCCCGGCCTAGATGTTTTTTTTTTAAATTCAGGCTCAGCCCTGGTGTTTTTTTTAAAAAATTTCGGGCTTGGCCATACGGTTCGGCCCGGGGGCCGGGCTTGCACGTCTCTGAAAAACATACCAAGAAGTACAACTTTTGAAAGTAGATTGAAAGGTTTGGAACTTTTGAATATTCATAGGCATTTGACAACAAGCAAGGATGAGATAATTGAAAAATTAGCTCAATCTCAACGAAGATTGGATTTTACATTGTAAATAATATAACATACAAAATACAATTATTCCCTAAGCTTTTTGTGTATTAATTTATATTTCTAACATTTAAATTTTTTATACTCTATATAAATTTTAAAGCTCAAAAAATTCAAATTTCTATTTTTGGTCATTTAATTAAGTGATTCTTTACATATAATTTTTTTATAATTCACATTAATTTAAAATTGTGTATTAGAAATAGTTATTAGTCCTAATAAATTTATGCTTGATATTTTTAAAAAACAATAATATTTCTTAAAAAATTTTATTATCCCCCCCCCAGACCAAATTCCTGCGTACGCGCCTGCTGTCGCACCAAAGTGCTGCCCGATTTTTGTTTATAAGACCTGTCATGCACAAGTGCTACCTAAAAAAAATTTTTACATACCGGACTATAATGGTAAGGAACGGTTGTATATTTCAAGAGTTGATTAAAGGATGGACAGATAGTGATGTAAGCAAATCAGCGATTAAAATAACACTTATTTAATAATAACTTATATAATCTAAACGATGTTACAGGGATGAGTTAAGAAAAAATACTTTTTTATTAATTTTATATAATGAATCAAAATATATCTAAAGTTCTAGCTAAAGGGATGTTAATTTGAATAATAAAAATATAAAAAAATAAATAAAGGATTAAATATGTTTGTGTGGTTAAACATGTTACTTAACTTACAGTACAATTTGATTATAACATAATATAAATTGAATAATAAAAGAATTATATAAATTATAGCAGGGGCGTCGCTAGCCTTTACAATCTCAGGGGGCTCAACTAAAAAAATTTTATTGGCCGGGTTTTATATTAATATATTATACTTTTTTAAAATTTGCTAACTCTAAACAATTATTCTGAATTTCATATTTTGTCATTTATTAAATTTAGCATACAAAATAAACTAACATATAAATAATTAAAACAATACAAGACATATCTAAGAATAAAATTTTTTAATACAAAATCTATTTATTACAGTATAAAATATTTTCGATGGTTGATATAAAAGAATTTTGTGTCTAAACAAGTGATAAAAAGGTTAATTAATTTGCCTCAATTAATAATGGTTTTTTAAAAACCACATAAGGCTATATAATTTTTAGCAACTTACATTGACAAAGGTCAAGAAACTAATGTAACTCTCTGTTACCATTTTAGACAATGTTTTATAGAATGGGGTAATAAGAAAAAATTTATAGGCCTTACCAAATTAACAATACTTGAAGAAGAGAATATAAACGACCAATCCAAATCATAAAAATATATCGTAGTTAGAGCTTCCTCTTAGATGACATGATGGAAGCTAGATAAGTAATCGAGAAAATTATTGTGAGTTATTAAATTTATAAAAGATTATCTTCCATTTTTAATGATATATAGACTACACAGTTGGCCATTATTGTATATCTAAAATATGTAATCATATGCTCTCAGCAGCTGTAGTAATAATCTTAAATTACATAGCCACACAAATAATAGATGCTGGTTAATTTATAGTCATAGCCATTACACTCACGATGGTAACCCATATCAAAATTTATTATGTTGGATAAATTGATGAAAGAAAAACACTAAAAATATTTAGAAGAAATTATGCAAATATATTGAAGCCTTAAGTTATTTACACGGCAAGGATGACATATTAGAAATGAAACATTTTGTAACTATAAAATAAGAACCGGAGTGATATCATGAAAGCAATTAAAATTTTATATATTATTGTCGCACCATCTCTAGTTGGTTTAAAATAATAGCAGTTTGTAATAATATCTAAAATATATTCGTATTAAAAATTTAACTCAAAACTGTTTTTCAAAGAAGAAAAAAATAGCTTTCCTAAAAACACGTAAAAAAAGAGAAGAAAAGATATTTAATTTATTACATCCATTGTGGGATCAATAATAAGATGTTTTATTATAATAATATTTTAAATAAATAGATAGCGTTAAATAATTGAAAGCATATTGTTACTTATATTTATTATCAAAAGCATTGATTAGTAAAATTTTAAAAATATTAACTGAAATATATTATATAACTATCAAATACGTCTGCAAAAGTGGCATTTTACCATTTTACCTAATATTTTATAATTAATTATATATAATAGAGAATTATAAACTATATGTCTACTTACTTTTTATAAATAAATCTCTTATACTTATTTGGATTTGGACCTAGAAATTAATTTTAGAAAGAGACATGATAATTAAATTTAAAATCAATAATATAGTTGATTAGTGATGTTAAACTCGGCTAATTACAAATAAATTTGTTAATTTTCAATTAATAAATGATTATATTAATTTAATTAGGGTTATATAATAATTTAAATAATAAAAGTCAATAAAGATTCAACTTTTAATGCTAAATTAATATTTAGTGAGTGATATTGATATATTTTTAACACAGAATTTGTTCGCAAACTGACATAGTGAAAATATAATTTATATGTATTAATCTAATCTAATAATTAAAATAATAAAAATTTAGATAGTCTTATTAATTTTTAAATAATAAAATTAAATCTATATATTACTCAATAGAATTATAAATGAAATTGTTCTGGGAGCAATTAAAAAAATTTATTTCAAGGGGATATTAAGAAGTCATTAAAAAAAATTTTTGCTTCAGGGGGCTATTCAAATTTTTCAGGGGGCTCGAGCCCCTCCGCCCCCCCCCCCCAGTGACGCCACTGAGTTATATTTATAAAATATAAGCGAGTGGTTAAATGTAATAAATATATCATTTAGGTTACATAAATAAAATATCAAATGACCCAATTAATTTTATCTTATTAAATAAATTAAAGTTTCTAATATTATAACATAGTCATTAATATTTTAAAAATAATATCAAATCTATATATAATACGTTATAGAATTCTAAGAATAATATTCAAAGGTCTATACAAATTTTTTAGGAGGCTCTAACCCTTGTGCTTCCCTCTTTATCGCCCAACGCTACTGAGAATAACTAACATCAGAAAACTTAGCACACATTTGTTTGGATATATAAACAAATAACTTTGCGCAGATATTCATATAAATAAGATTGATTATTCTTATAATTTTAAACATTTAAATCTTTAAGAAAATTTATTTCAAAAAAAAGAAATAAATACATAACAGGTTATCTTGAAGCAAGATTTAAAAAAATCTTCAATTATTTTATAAAACATGTGCAAAATACTTTTATAGATTCATTCATTCCAAATGAAAATTTTTTCAAAGCGCAAAAAAGATGTTCGAATATTAGTTTTAGGAGAAGGTTGTTAATACATTTTTATTTATTTATATTTATATAAATGATCATATCACAAGATGGCGTTGGAAAAACATCTATTATACTATCTCTAGTAACAGATGAATTTGCTATTGAAGTTAACCTCTATTCTATTTATAAATTAAAATTGATTATGCTAAAGGTTCCACCTAGGGCCGAGGAAATAACCATTCCAGCAGATGTTACTCCTGACAGAGTACCCACATATATAGTTGATTTTTCAAGTTAATACCTATTATAAATTTACTAACCTTGTGGTATATTATTGTTTAACAAAATATATGAAATTCCAAGATTGTATCATAAATAATAAAAACTAGTGTTCTAAAATTATTGGATTCATTGATAAAAACAACATTTTAGTAGTGCAATAATTAGGTCTTTACAACCTAATTATAAATATAAATAAAAAATTATTCAATTTTTTTGTATGATTTATTTGATTCAAACTATTTGAAGATTTATAATAATTGGTTTTTTAAATAGCAATAAAAATGCATAATTATATAAAATTTAATTTAAAACTAATAATTATTTTTGGTTATCCATTTATATAATATCATCCTTACTTATGTAGATTTATATTTTCTATATTATTTCTTATCCTTTTTTTGAAATTTACCTTAAATTTATACATTTTAGCAAAATTTATCCTAATCTTACATTTCAAAATATGATTATTAATATATTTTTTATAAATTTTTCATAAAATGACTAAATATCACTATTTTTTAGAAATTCAAATTTTGGGAGGGTTCTCTTTGACGTTATATTTTGATAATATTATTGTCCATTTTGGTCAAAATAGATGACATTATTAATGTGAATTTTTATTCAGGTAATTATTCTATTTATGAATTTGTTTAAATTGATAGATATTTCCAAGTAATTTTTTAACAATATTTAAGATAAAATATGAATTTATAGCTATTAAATGGACTAATCGGAAATTAAATTTTATGTTGTTTTATATTTTCAGAGTTGTTAATGGTATCTACATCTTAATGCATACTTTTATAAAAAAAGGATCTATATCTAGATATTAATTTAAAGATATCTATATCTATTTTTAGATATATTTTATTTTACATTTTTTTATATTAAAAATAAAAATATTTGAATTAAATTTATTAAATATTATGTCCATATTTCATTACAAAAACAACAGGGGCATTGTTATGATATGACAAAATTTTAAGATTGTTTTAATTTTAAAATAACCCATTTTTAAAACATTTGAGTTTCTGATGTCAATAAAGGAACAATAATTTTCTAGAATAAACTAAAAGTTTTAAAAATATATCTGATTCATTAAAATATCAAAAAAATTTTAAAATAATTTTACTTTTTAAAGTTTATGACCTTTTTTTGGAAATGTGAGAAATTTGAAGATAAAATACAGATGAGGTTGGGGGATTTAAATTAAATTATTATAAATTCTATCTAATCCAACTTATCAACCACTATTATAAACACATACCCTACCTATAAAATACAATATTTATATTTTATTTAACAATTAGCTCAAGAACAAAGTGAAGATGTACTAATCGAAGAAATTCAAAAGGTATATCCTGCTCCATAATATTCTTTATATATTAATATTTGTTTTTTAGGCAGATGTCATATGCTTAGTATATGCTATCAATGATGATTCGTCTATTGAACAAGTATAATTTTATAATGAATTTTTTTGTTTAATTTATAAAAATATCTGTTTAAAAAAAATTAGCTGAAAAACTATTGGTTGCCCATAATTCGTAGAGTGTTAGGGGAACACGGAATTCCTATTATACTAGTGGGTAACAAATATGACGAGATGTCTCAGAGTAGTATGGAGGTAAAGGCATGAATAAAATTATTTACTATTTCCTTTACACAGATATTATACCTTGAGAAAAAAAGAATGATCTAATCTAAATAAAATTCATGCATTATATTAAAAATTTTGTTGGAAACATTAATATTTGAAGCAGTAGAGAAACTTTTCTATCTACATAAATTAAATTTCATTTAAAGAAAGTTTTCAATTATTTTATAAAAAGTATATTTTAAAAAAAACTATAAGTCCGACTCTATGAATCATTTACCCAAACCGTGATACTGATTATTTAATTATATACCGATTTTAAAATACCAAATTGGCCCAATCATTCATTAAAAAAGGCACTAGGTATTGATGGATATTTGTATACCTCCGATACGAATATGAAGGGAATATGTTTCGACTTTTAAAGAAAAATTCGGAAATATAATAACAACATTATCAAGTTAATTCTCCTGACCAATGCAGGGCTCATTGATATGCATTGGCCGTTTCCTGACTTAGATTTTTTTTTAAATCTTGATAGCCTGTAGTTTCATATCGTTGCAAATAATTTATAAGAATGATGATGATGAGGCTTTTTTTGGAAATTAAGAGAATAGGAAGATGTAATGCTGAATTTTTATTAACACCTACCAGATCAATCTGAGACTGATTTAAAAACTTTTTGATCTTTTTTTTAAACAAAACATTTGTAAAATATCAGAAAATAGTTCCTCTCATGAACACCTTTCCCGAGATTGAAACATGTATAGAATGCTCTGCCAAATGCTTGAAGAATCTATCCGAAGTATTTTACTATGCGCAAAAAGCCGTTCTATATCCCACCTCATCTATATATCAACCCTTCGATAAAGAGGTACCTAATTATTATTTTTGTTCGATAGATTAATAATATTAAAATCGTTATGAAAGTGTTTTTTATTGCAAAATTTCTATTATCCATTCATATAATATTATATCTAAATCAACGAATTTTCTAACCCCCCCCCCCCCTCACCCTCGCCCCTTACTTTACTCGGAGAATATATTACTCCCGTTAGAGCACAATTATTTTTTTAGAATAAAAATTAGATATTCATATATCAATTTTTTTTAAAATATGCAAAGGAATATTGTTTTCTTCAAATGGACATGATTTTTATTCATATTTTGCACTGTTTTTATAGTATTAAAACTTCTTTTTCTTCAAATTTAACTTAATTTTTATTTTCTTTTTTTGAAAAAAGCTCACACCTAAGTGCGTTCAGGCTTTGACCAGAATCTTCAAGATTTTCGACAAAGACAACGATGCCCTATTAAACGACGAAGAAATCAACGATTTTCAAGTAATTTTTTTTAGTTCAAAATGAATGGCTACGATTAAGAGATTGCAATTTAGAATGTTTAAAAAAATTCTAAACATTATTTCAATTAACATATTAGTCAATTTTTTAGTCAAAACAATTGGTGTCTTTATTTTAAATTCTTATCAATATATAGTATTTTATAATTATGTAATTTAACTTCTAATTGCAATTGGATTGACCTCGATAATATAATATTAAATAAAGGAAAGTTATAATATTGTATGACAAATATAATATTCAAATAGCGTTGATTAAATATATAAGATATTAAGATATAACAGTCAACTTAAAAATGTAATTAATAATTTAAAGGGTACTTATTCATCTAATAACATTTTTTTTTTGAAAAAATGATATGACATACTGAACTCATATTTGATCTGATTTGATATAAGACAGATGTTGTAATTTGTAACTATTTAATATACCTCTATATATTATCAAAGTCTTTTACTTTGATAACATTTACCACAAGTTTTAAAATATTACATTAAAGTCAGTCTAAATGCTTGAATTTAGAAAATTTTATTTGGGGATCGTTATGTTTAGTTTTTATTTATTCCAGCGATTTATCCTTATCGTTGTCTTAGAGTTAAATTTTTTGCCTACTTATTCTGAATTCATAGTTATCGCGAATTCTCGGCAAAGTATGGGAAATATTCTGTATTTTTTATTCTTCGCCGCTAATTTGCTCTATAAATGTAGGATTATTGCATTTATATTTTGGAGTTGGACTATGAATTATTGGACGAAAAAGAAAACATTGAGATCTTAATGCCTAGATATAATGACTTTTTTTTACCATTTTTATTGATGTCTATGACATTCAAAATTACATTTGCTATTAGAAGAAGATTTCTATTTCTTCGATAAAAAAATTTCCTGAAAATCATTATAAACTTTATTTGGTAAATTTATACGATTTTCCCCCCCCATAAATAAAATTCGAAGGATTATTGCTTCAATATCCCACTGCAAGATGAATCGTTGGACGAAATTAAAAATATAATCAGGAAGAATATCAATGACGGAATTTTTGACAACTCGCTCACTTTAAATGGTTTTGGTTGACACAATGCATTTTCTTACTTGATACTTAATATTATAGGGATATACCTCGGCTGTGGCACGCAGATCAGATAAATCTCGGGGGGGGGGGCAAGACTAGAAACCTGCAAAGTGTTTTTTGCGGCCTGAGCCTTCATTTAATTTTTTTGTCCGAGCCCGACCTGAGCACACATTTTTTAGTTCAACCCGACCCGAGCCCGACTAAAAGATTTGCCTTATTTTTTTCAGAAATTCTTTATAAATTTGAATTCATTTTGTAACGATTTTATAAATACAGAAATTAAAGTTTAACTAGTAACTAAAATATAATCATAGGAAATAGTTAATTTGATAAATGAATATTATGTTAAATAATAATTAAACCGTGTTAGATGAAAAATGGCCTGCTTTCTGATCAACATTTTTATAAAACAATGATTATTGAGGATATTTGTATTTTTGAGGATAATTGTATTTTAATATTTATTTATCTGGCCGGGCTTCGTGTCGGACATCTCATACAACCCAACTCTGATCCCTATAAAAAGTCTTTAATGTCCTGCCCCTATCCTAAGGGTCAGGTCGGACTTCGGATATCAGGCCTCTAGATGAGACGCAAGACCATGTTAAAATTTTTATAGGGATAAAATCTTTTAGATTATTGATTCTCCTTCATCTTTATGCAGGATTATTTTTAAATTTATAATTTTAAATATTTACATAAAATTTATTCACAATGAAATTTGGAATATATTTTTTTTATATTATACTATCACATTTGCAATTAACTTACTTGGTGATTTTAATTATATGCTACAATATTATATTATTTGTTTTTGTAATAAATTTATCTAATTTATTTACAACAAGTTTTTTAATTGTCTAATTTTTATGCATTCTCGTTATATTTCTTGATTTTGCAATGATTGTTATAAAATGAATGTTTTGCTATCTATCTTATATAGTGTAATTGATTTTTATTTACAGTGTATGTATTTCAGCTAGTTGAAGGTAAAATTTATAGGGATGATAGAAATTTTCGAAGGATAGCCAGGTAAAAATTATATGGGAGCTAGCGTAAATTGTCAGTAGCTTAGAAAAGGAAGGAAGAGAAAAAAACAAAATTGATAATTTTAGGGAAGATTATCTTTTAACACCTTTCAAAGGGATTTAATGAATTCCTTTAATGTAAATTAATATCCGAAAAAATATAATGGCCTCTTTCTCCTTTGTTTTATGTATGTGGATGCTCTTATTAGGAAAAATTGCTATATAGAGCATAAGGGGAAAAGGAGAGTTTAAACAAATTGAGTCGTTCCCTCGGGATGCCAAGGATTGTAAATGGTCGAGGAAAAGAGATATTTAAATAAAACGAGGTAACTGGCGAATATGAAGTTAAATCTAGATTGGTACCTAAACCTTATGTAGAAGTTTTATTATAGTATACATATTTTTTTAGGATTCGTTTTTCTGCACAAATTATTTATCCAGAGAGGTAGGCACGAGACCACTTGGGCCGTTTTGAGAAAATTCGGTTATGACGACGAACTCAATCTATATCGATTATATCTCAATCCAAAGTTTGAGAAACAATTAATGATCTTGATTTTTTGATATACATATTTTTTATTCCATAGGTAGGCCAGTTTCTTTTATTATTTTGCCAGATAAATTATTTTATCACGTGATTATTATAGGGTTTCACTTTAATCAATTTTGGCATGAGGGCTATTTTAGATAAATTCAGGGGCGGATTGGAACAAAGGCCCGGTGGGAAATTTCTAAGAAATGCCCCATAGTTGGGGGCTTCGCCAACCCCCTAAACCCTCCTTAGCGGGCCTACGGCCCGCTTTTACCCGGCCTGCGGTCGGGTTTTATTTGAAATCTAATATACTATATTAAAATTTAAAATAATTTTTATCTTTTTAATATTTATGTATATGATCATTTTAAAAGAATTACTTGTCCTTTGAGTTGAATGCATTATTCATTATTAATTTATGAACTTTTGTGATTAATACTTATATTATTTCATTAGAAAAAATCAGTTAACAAAATATTTATAGAACAAAAATATAAAATATTGATAAGAATAAAATAAAAGCTCTGGAATATTTTTATAATAAACAAAATCTAATAATATAAAAATGTAATATATTTTTAAAAAAAGAAGTTGCTCACCACTCAAAATCGATAGCATTTGACTTTTCAACAACAGAATATATATGTTTAAAATTGGTGCACCCTTTTGAAAATGAATTTTTATAACCAGCAAAAGCTATACAAATTGAGCAGTAAATAGCTTTAATTTCATGATTAATTATAGCACTGAAAGCCACGTGGTACTTTATCTTCCAGAACTTCTCTATAATTAAACGTGATATATTTAGTCTCAGGTCCACAGGTTACATTTGGATGTTGCTATAAAAAGGCAAGTTTTTGTGGAATTGTTGCATTTGAATTTAAATGAAATAAATTTGACTTAATAGGTGAGATCTTTTTCTTTAAATTTGCTGTTTCTGTACATGAAAAGCCTTCGATTAGAATTTATAGATGTAGGTATTTTTAATGTATATATAGATGAAGGTATTTGTAATGTAGATAAAGATGAAGTTTCCTTTAAAATTAGGGATAGAACGAAATGATATTGGAATATTTGGTGAAATTGTCCTATTATGTAAAAGTAAAGAAGAAGCTGGAGTCTCTGAGCATGTTAAATATGCTATTTTTGTGGTTTGAGCATGAGAAAAATCAGATGTTATATTAGAACATGAACCAAAATTTATAATGTGTGAAGATACTTGTAATAAACATAAAGATGAATAATTTTTTTTAGATGTGATTTATGCGGACTTTTTATGGTATGAGTTAGAATGTCGGGCAACGTTGTATTATCACCTTTTTTGAAGCATAAAGAGGAGTCAGAAGTTTCAAGATATGAAGATGTTTTTGATAAGTTTGTAGTTGCTATATTGAAAAAAGACAACTTTTGCTGTTTTGGATTTTCACCAGCAATCTTAAGTTCTTTACAAGATTTATCATGAAGTTTTTCTGTTCCACTTTTGTATTTTCTTTTTTTTACTATATATTTTTATGCATGATAATATAAAAAATATATATTTCAATATAAAATTAGAATTTATATTTAATAAAATAGCTATCAAGATTATTTATATATTTTTTCTTTATATTAATGATCTATGTTAGATAAAATCTTGATGTTATATTTGAATGATAAGATCAATATCAATATATTTTAAGTAAAGATTCCACTCTAGTTCAGAAAAATCCTTAAACATTTACATTGGAATATGTTTAAAGCAAATATGGCTCATTTTAGTTGGGAGGGGGATTAATACTTATTAGTTCTGGGTTAGAATAGTTAATTTAACTCAAGATAAATAAATAAAATGATATGAATATGAAAAAATCATAAATTATTTTTATGGGGTTTGGTATTACTTGTGTTGTTTATTATTTTCATTTTCAATAATAATAATGTGTTTTCTCTATATAAACATGAATTTTAAATAAAAATGAGTAAATGAATTTTTTTATAGTGCTCTTATAATTCCATCAGATAATTAAATTAATTTTAATAATTATTTAAATTTCTAATATTTAAAAAAAAAATTGTATTAAAACATATTTAGATTTTATGCCAATTTAATTTTAAAAAATTCTTTTTTTGGGAAATTTTTCCACTAGGCTTACTGGCTAATCCACCCCTGGATAAACTGTTTTTTTGCTTTTATTTTCAGAATCTTGAAATAATTTAAACAAGCAGATTTTTTCGGTTCCAAAATTATTTCATATATATCTTGCATAAATTTATTATAAGGTGAAACCTCTAATTTAACTTAGAAGAAAATGATCATATTATATAAAAAATTCAATTTTTCAGTTAAATAAAATAAATTATATTTTTTCATTAAAAAATAAAAAAATTTTTTATCACTTTAATATCTTTATATTTTCTCCATAAGCTTCAAAGTTCCATATGGATGTACTGCAGAACTGACGGATCAGGGGAACGCTTTTTTAAACTGCCTATTCCGAAAATACGACGAAGTAAGATTTTTTAATTAATTTATTTATCATCTGATACATCCCTCCCTTTAGTCAGTTTGTTCATATCTTTCTCCAAACCAATCATCTCCATAGTTCTTTTGCAGTGTATTTAGCCAGATTATTACTTATTTATTACGAAATTCCTTTCTATCATTATCATTTTTAAATATCGCCTTTTGCCTTTTAAGGTTTTATCGAGTCATTCCAGCAACTTCTAATAGCGTATGCCATAGGAGCGCTTTTTTCTAGTCACAAACCTCTCTAAGATAATTTCCTCGCGAAATCCTACGTCTTAGCCTTTCCTATTATCAAATAAAAATACCTGGCGTTAACGGATTTTAGATAATGGGAATAAAGTCATTATAAGTTTAAAAACAAGCATTTTAAGTTTTTTATATTTTTAACCCACCCTCGCCCGACCCTTCCCTCAAAAAGGAACTAAAACAAACATTAGATTTTGAAATATATATTAGGCCTTGTTTCTTTTGCCTTGCTAAACTTTTATTTTCATTAACATTTGTGAGCCATCTTCTGATTAGCATCTTTTTTTTGAAAACTTTACTTTTAATGATGACCTCCCACCCCCACCCATTTCTATATTCATTATTTATTATATTATCTTTCATTCATCTGAAATGCAAAAATTTATTTTCTTCTGCATTTAAAATAATTTAATCCGTTATTTTTGACTCCATCTAAGATATTTAATTCTATTTTAAAATTTATCGATATTTGTGAATTTTACTTCACGGTACTGGCAGGTATATTATTAATATTCTTATCTTTGAAGAAAATTTGAAAAAAAAACATAAATTAACGCAAAATAATTTTTTTAAAAAAATATAAGGATTTAGACGGCGCTCTATCGCCTTCAGAGTTAGTCAACTATTTTTCAGTCTATGGGGATCAAAATTTCATGGCGCATGATCACGATGACATGGGAGATTTTGAGAATATAGGTGGCGATTCAAGTTTTGACATGTTGCCGGCTAATTTTTCCGATTTTAAAGAAACATTTTGGGGACCTTCTATGTACCAGGCCGTTGAGGTCAACGACAAATCATGGCTGACTAAAGAAGGGTACATGGCTTATTGGAAGTAATATTCGTTAAAATTTATTTTTAATCGGTAATAATTTTTTAGCCAAAATTTTATAATTTATAAAAAAAAAATTATGAATACTTGAATATAAATTAAATGGTCAATTAACTTATCGAAAAAAAATTATCAGTTATTTTACAATATTCTTAAATTTTTTTTTATTGATTAACGAATTCTTAAATAATTTTTATATTAAAGCTTGATCATACTGTTGGATCAGCAGAAGGCCTTCGAATATTTGGCATATTTGGGATATCCTATCAACGACGAAGACAATCAAACGTCCTCTGTTCAAAGTTTAAATTCTCTAACATCTTTATAATAATGAAAAAACTATTACAATTAAAATATATTTGTTATAGTAAGCGAACGTGATAAAAAAATGTTGATATATAAGCTTTGAATTTGGTACTAGTTGTTAGGTTAGCCTCCATTTTAAAACCTAGGTTTATTTTGAGTTAGTTTTTACTAACCAAATATTTTAAAAAGGATTCTATAGTTTACCAATATTGTTAATTGTGAATATCTAGAGGTGTATTTTCTGTTGAATATTGGGTTGATAGATATATTTATATTGGCCCTTTTCCTCACGTAATACTATTCGCTAAAATCTGATTAGCCTCCAAGAAGCTGAAACAATCAATATACATTTACTATTATAGTTGACTTCATAGGATAATCATTTAAGAACGAAGGGAATTTTATTTTTTTTAATCTTTGGTGATAAAATTGTGATTGAAGTTCAATATTATTTCTATGCCGAGGTTGTGATAATAAATTATGATAAACGATTTCTTCAAAACTTTGCATATCAAATATTTTAAATAAAGCCTATAAGTTTATTCATGATTGTATTTTGCCTATACCTATTTTCTATTAGTCACTCAGAGCGTAAAAATGGGAAGATCCAAAAAGTTTTTGCCACGTTCGGTATACCATTGCGATGTTATAGGATCAGATGGTGTCGGAAAGGTATATGATAAGTTTTTTTACTAATTCGATTGAGCAACATTTTTTTTACTGATTATAAATTAATTTTTATCATTATTTTAATGCGTTTACCTTAAAACACAATTAACAGACCACGTTCCTGCAAGGTATGTTAGGGAAAAATTTGGAGGTAAACTTTTTATTAATAATACTTATTATTATTTTAATTCTTGTTATAATTCACTAACCTTCTAAAAATATTTTCTATGTTTTACATAGTCGATAAAGTCTTCGAACACTTGTAAATATTCTATCAAACGTTTCAAGCTATATTCGTATCAAAAATATTTAGCGGTAATCAACGTGAATTTTTTATTTATTTAAAAAATATATGCTATACAACTACTAAACCTTTAAAAAGTAACCGATGATTGAGAGCCCTTCTATTCTAGCTAATTAAATTTATTAATGTTCCTCACTCTAAAACAGAATGGAGATAGTTTACATTTATAATTAATGTGTTGGGTAATGATGTATGGCGTTAAACGTTATTGATTTATTATGTGTTTATTAAATATTAGAAAGCGTCATAATTTATTCTTATAAAAAAAAGTTGTTTTCGAGTAGCGTGTGTGGCCTAATCAATGATCGCATATATCACCGACCATATAGTTCTAGGTTAGGTTCGAATCCAGTAAGGATCGGAGTTTTTTCCTGAAGCAAACTGGAGGCTTCGGGGTATAATATACAGAATCGAATGCGATCGATGAATTTATTTAATATATATTAAAATAAAAATCGGTCTAATTATATTTTTATAAAATTTGGTCGTTTAACAAATGCTATATGATGACCAACGCTATATATAATTACCCTATATGTGCTTTATACAGAGGCGGTCATATTTTTTATAAAAACGGTATTTGGATACCGATATAAATACTCTTGAAAATTTATATTTAAGATACACATAGAAGATTTTATTCTCAAAAAATTTTAAATGATGATACTATGAAAGATTCATTTAAAAATTAAGACGTAATGCTAAACTAATTTTTGAACATAGATTTAAAGGTTAAGAACCGCATGATGTGATAAAATATTCATTACCAATAAGATAAAATTTTAGAATAGGAAAAACTATTCTCAAAATTAATAAAATACAGACGTTATGTTTAGTCTTCGCAGCTTTTTTTTAAGAAGAACTGAGCCCAGCCTTTCGATTTCTTAAAAAATAAGGCATTAAAAAAATAATTATATTATCAAAATTTAGCAGATATTTTAATTTATAAACATTTTTGTAAAAATATAGTTTAAAGGCTATACTTAATGTCCATATTCATAAGAAACAACTAATAATTTCATGTTTGCTGCCATAATGAACATATTAATTACAGTGTGATATCCTTTTCACTATTACGATAATCCTTAACTAGTAAAAAAAATAATCTTTGTGCAATTTAGTTACACGAAGTACATTTATCAACGCTTGAAAAATCGGACGGCAAAAAACATTATTGCGATTGCGTTTGCATGGTTTACGATACACAAAATCCTCGATCTTTTTTTGCTTGCGCTAGAACTTATAAAGTAAGTTATATTTAGGATCTGTATATATCTTAATTTTTTTTTTAAATATTTACTTAAAATATTTTCCCCTTCTGGATTATGGTAAAATAATGATATTTCGCAGGGATGTGAACCCTTCGACAAAAAAAGAAACTAGGTCCGGGTTCGGGTACAGGAATAAAATTTGAAAAGACCCGGGAATGACTCAAAATAAGATTTTTTTAAATTCTCAATATATATATTCATAATTTACAAATGAAAAATTTAAAAATGAAATAATTTACATTTAAATGTTTTATCGCACAATCATAATATCTTCTAAAATATCATTCTTGAGATTTCCACGTAAAGTAGACAATATATATTTCAAAGATGAAAATTCACGTACCCTTACCTAAAATAGATAGTTATCTTTATAAAATTATTGTACTTGTGTCGCCGATACAGCCATGAAGATTCTAGATAAGATATATAATTCTGGATATATTGAAAAATTTTCTTTTCAGAATTAAATATTTATATCTTATTTATACTCTTAACTAGAACTTTACTATTAAAGATGCAATAGGCATTTTTTGATCCTCCTTTCTATCTGATAAAAATTTGATTTTTTTTTCTCTATCTAAAGTAAAATTTCAAAATCATCAATGTTGCTATCATTATTATTATTATCACTACAACCTAGGTATTGCCGTAGTCTCCAATATATTGTAAATAATGGAGTTTAGCGTATGCCATAGATCCTTAAGATAGTCTTAGCCATTTGTTTTTGCTCAATACTCAATAAAACTTGATATCGAGGGCCAAAATATATAGAAGCATATTCAACACTATTTTGCGAATATTGGTGCTCTCGAATTTTCATGTTTTCTAATATTTCGTATAAAAAGGACTGTAAATTTTTCTAAATCTAATTGGCATCTAATCCATAAGCCTTAAATAAACATAATTGTTCTGATTGTAATCTTAATATTGTTATTTTTAGAGGAACTAATACACTTGTAAGGTTCTTTATTTGGCACCAATCATCTTCCGACAAAATGACTCACATGCTCCTATAATAAAATCATTACAGAAATCTTTAAAACTTAATAATCGTTCTAGCATCATACAAATTGAGGACCAACGTGTTGTGCATTATCATTTAAATTAAAATATTATTACTTGTACTACAAAATAATTCACTTTCAAAATAATCAACATATTTCTATAACATAGCATATTAATAAATTTACATAATAAAATATTATAACACTGGAAAATAATTTATGATATCAATCTCTAAATAAAATGGAAGTGTCCAGGAAGAAAATTGAAACGCGAAGATAAAATAAATGTTAATAAAATATATAAAAATTTATATTATTTTTAAAAAAAACACCTAGAACCCTTGGACCCTCCACTTTAAAAAGGGTCCGGGTTCGGGTTCAGCCAAAATACGAGGGGTTCGGGTTCATATCCCTTTCGGTTTGATTTATAGCCATCACTATCAAATAATATACAATAAAATTTTTACAATATCATTCACACGATTTGAACATAATCCTTGATCAGAAATACTATCTAGCCAACAAGATTCCCGCGCTTATCTTCGGCATGAATTTATCCTCCCAATCTTCTCAGCCTAAAGAAAACTATCTCACCAACCAAAAATTACCAAATAACGAGTCATCATCGCCCGAAATAGATACCGAAAAAATATATGGCGACGCGACGTCTTTTCAAAATTTGGGACCGGTTCAATTTGCTTCTAAGTACCGACTTAATCCGCCCATGATTTTGTCGGGCCCACCTCCAACCTTCGGTTATAACGGGGATTTATACCTTAAAATATTGAAACTGGCCGCTTACCCGTAAATAACATATTAGATATCATTTTCCACATAAACTTATTATGAACTCTTTAAAGATGGTAAAAGTTTTGAAACATTGAAATATTATATTTTTTCAACTTTGGAAATTAAATAACCCAACCCATTATTCCTTAAAATTTTTTTCTTAATCAATCAGCCATTTACCACCCATACCTGATTTTGCTATAGTAAAAATTTTCTAATAACTTAAATTTTAAATTGAATTGGTTACATTTTATTTAAAATTTATCATATAGGGGAGACCAGTATGACTTGCCATGATTTTGTTTCAAAAAAATGTATTATGATGGGTTTAATAATATCAATGTATAGCCTAGAGTCCACAAGCTGTAACATTATCAATTTGCATTTTGTAATAAAGAAGAATATAAAAAAATTGATAAACTTAAAAATTATTAAAGTTATTGCTGAATATTTAAAATGTATAACATCAAAATAGAGAGTAAAATAAATATTTTAAGTTTGAGATATTTTCCTAATTCTATTAATTAATGCCGGGGCACGAGCTAGGCTTAATTCTAAAAATTACCACCGGGTTTTGGGTGGGCTTGGGCCGTAAAAATTTGTTTTACAGGTGGACTCTAGTATAGTCCAATCCTTAGCGTTTCAAATAAAGTTGGTTAATATAAAATATCGGATTGGGGCCGATAATTACAGCTTATCAAATTGGGCCCATACTGATTGTTTATCTGATCGGACCGATATTTAGAAAACAAACCGATATTATATTATTCTATTTTTTTTATGAGCTTAACCTTGAATTTCTAAACTTATACCCTACGTCATATATAATTAATACCTTAACTTTATAATTACATTTTAATATTGATTTATATTTGTACCTAATAAAATATTTAAAACATAAAAAAGGGATGATTAAGTAATAATATAGAAATTATTTTTTTTAGATAATTGTTTGAGATTTTAAATTTATCAAATCTTAATATATAAAAAATCTGATTTGGTTTATGATTATTGTTTATTTATAAGAAATTTGACTATAAATTCAATATTATTTGTTGTTACAAATTTTTGATTTAAAAAATTAACACAAAAATTATGGCCAGTTAACAGGAAATATGGCCAATCGACCTCAAACCATGGTTGACCGGCCAGAAAATAAGCTTTCAAACTCCAAAAATATTATAAAAAAGAACCTAATTTTAAAGATTAAAGGACTCATACTGATATTATTATTTAATTACAAGTAATTTTTAACACTTTTATTTAAAAAAGAAAACATAATCATGGCTATTTAACTCCGTCTTTCTATAAATAAATAACCCTGTTTAAAAAATTAAGTTGGTAAAAATTTTTGCTATGCCAAACAAATGAAACCTGAGTAATTATATAAATGTCACAGCTTCTATTATTTATTCATTTACAAGGAACTTGAAACTCTATCATCAAGAAAAATCGAATTATTGGCTTAAATTGAGTATAGGCACGGCGTGTATCACTATTTTCGCTTTGATCGTTTTCAAATTTTGGAAAACTAAATGAATGGCCACAACAACATAAACTTTTTTTTCTCTTTATATACTTTCTATTATAATATTTATTTTTTAAACGCTTGATTATTAAAATATTCAGCAAAACTTACTTAAATTCCATAACTTATTTCCAAAAATCTAAATGAACAAAAACAAGGTGGTATTCAAACTTCCTAGTTTATTTTTATAGTTAATAAATTGTCTTTTATAAATTTAAAAAAAAATATATATTGGCTCATATTATTTGTAAATATTTTTTGATAATAATTATTTTTATTAGCTTAATAATCGTAATGACGACCACGATGTGCATTTTTATGTCTAAATTTCTTATATTATGATTGATGGCACTCCGAATAAATATGATAATTATAAATTGTGTTGTTATAATATATATTGTTAACCCCGCCATGTTAAGATTACGAGGTTTATTATATATTTTTAATGGATATTCTTATTTTTATCCTAAAATTACAACTGAATCTTTAAATTGAGACCCAATTTAGATGTTTAAGTCAAATTTTTTAGCCTGGCTAAGCTGAATTGGAGCTGGCCAAAGTTATGACATTAAAGGATTTACAATGAGAACACGCTTATAAATTCAATATTTAAATTCAATAGTTTTAGATTGTTGCAGAGGCTTATTAAATTATTATGATTATTATAATAGATACATAAAGTAATAACCATTAAATATTATATATTATACATAGATATAAAATGGTTAATATCTTTTAGAATTTATTTATTTTAGTGTGATTATTTGAAATTTCACTATTATTTTTGTTTTTACCAAGGGTTTTATTTTATAGATAATTAAATTTTATATCATATATAAAAGTTTTTATATATTAATAAACTTAAAACTATAAAAGTTTTGAACGAACGTGAACGCATTCCTTTTTTCGATGATGAACGACGAAGTCAATGAACGTTAACTCGTTCGATTTTTTTAGAAATATTTACAGCACTATATAATCATTTAATTATATTTTTGTATATTAATTATCCAAATCTAACGATCATTATTTTAAATATACATTTGTATATAGATGTGACAGCTCAGTAAAATTAAGTATTATGCACACCTTACATAAATATAATAATTATTATATCTGTTAGTTACGTGATGTATCTGTATCTAGATCGATTTTTAGACAATGTATCTTTAGCTAGATCCATTTGAAAAATATCTTTTAAAAGTCTGATAAAAAGATTAAATTAATAGGGGAGTTATATATATCAATTATTAAGTAATTCGTAAGTAACTAGTTACAAGTTTTTTCAAAAAATATAAATAGTAATTGCAATTATTTACTATAAGTATGTAGCTTATAACTGTAAAACGTTTTCAAAATAATTAAATTATATATAATAAACCACGCTTACATTAGACGGATCTCATATATATTTATTACATATGGTGATGTGAATTGAGGAAATTAACTCGCGAAATTAAAAAAAACATCTACTTAATAAGGATCGCGATTTTTAATGCGAGGGGTTCGCTCACATTAGAGGGGAATGAAGAGACGCATTTGTAGTTCCATATTAGTGGTTTTCCAAGGGTCCAAGGTATGGTTGTCATACCATTAAGTCTTATGTCATCTATTTGAGAAAAATTTGTGGGCTCAAGATGATTTGGAATGTGGGCGGCTGTTACCTCGATTTATTACTGAGTGGCTCTGGTGTCGCCCTTGACTATATATACAATTAAAGCCGTGTTCCTTTGAATAGATGGGTGATTTGATGCAAGCATGTGGCTGTAAGATGTCACAACCTAGGCGTAAATCAATGGCAACTTGTATTTTAAATAAAAATAAAATAAATTTGATAACACAATAAATAATTGACATGCAGAATATTTAGTTGAAAGGTGTGACAGAAAGCCTCCATAATTTAACTAGACTGATTTTGAAATCTCAACATGATTACTATAGCATTTATTATTATTATAACATATAAATCCTTGAAATTTCCTTTTAAAATGATTTCTAAAACCTTTGTTTGTACACATGTGAGATATAAAATTCATGGCTGAGTGTGCAAAGGCCAATTCCTGTGCCGCTATCACAAAGGTAAAAGTGTTTCTATTTACGTAGCCATTATTATTTTTGGTTAAAATAAAATATAAGGACAAAGGTAGCACACCTATCAAATATGCGACTACCAGGATAAGTATAGCAAACATTAGTAATTGATCTTCCCTTTTATATGTTATCGTTGAATCTTTGCGGTCTTTTTATGAATTATGTTATTTGCAGTATTGTCAATACTAATATTAAGATTGGATTTGACAACACTAATAATACCTATATTTTTCGTATGCTCAGCTAAACTTTTCTTCTTGGATATTACCCCTTTAAAATTTATCAAAGGCTTGTTCTAAGAAATATCATCAAAAAAATGGGAGAATGAACCATGATGAATTCAACCCAAAGAGGAATTCTAAAATAAAAATTGTTTAAAACTTATAATTTTCAATTGTTTCATAATATAAGGTTCGATGTTCGTTATTTATATAAATTGTATGTTTATAGGAAACGAATACTTTTCGTATCTACTTTGTCCAATATAGCATTTTTGCAGAAGGATATATGTGTATTAAAAAGAAGCGTCAGAATCTTTAATTTTTTGTTTACTATACATGTATTAAGCGATACATCCTGACACATATCGTATTAACTAATATTTCCAAAAATACTTCATACGGAAAATTCGATTTGGCTTCAGAAATATGAAATCTAAATAATTATAACGAGTGGCATGGCAATTTTTTGGCAATGGTACTTGTGTCCATTTCTTATATTTTAATGGATGACAAATAGCTATGTATCAATTTAATGAAGGATAACAACAAGCCTCCAGATTTCTATCCAAATAAAACTAAGACCGCCACAAATTTTAAAACGATATAATTGTATTGATAATTAAATCGAAACCTCCAGTCAAAATATTTAGCTAAACAATACTTATTAGTGTAGTTTAAAATCATGAAGCAAGTTCCAATGTCTCGCTAATTTTAATTGATAATTTTTATCAATGAGTGAAAATCTTGTTTAGAAACTGAACTTAGTTCAAGATGCAACTGTTTTAAGAAATAATTTATATTCTAATTTATTTTAAAATTTTTAGAATTATTATTAGATAGTTCGAATAAAATTATCGAGTTAAATTTATTTTTAAGACAAATACAACCCAAACTATATATAATGAACTAAATCCAAATATTGTAGAGAACAATAACTTTTTCAGGTTATAAGTGTATTAATAAATTTATTATTTTAGTTCGTTCTATAAAACGTTAAATGGTGACTCAAAACAAGAGTAAAGTTACAAAAATATGTTTTAACAAATTTACTGAGTTAATGTACAAAATAGGAGTTTTAATAATAATTTATAGAAATTATTCTATTGTACTATCTATTTATTAAAGTTTGTTTTGATAACTATTAATTGCGAATGTCCTATAACGAGAGAGTATAAATGTTTGCAACTTAAATGATGTCTGTTTTTATTGTATATTTTAAAATAGTTTATTTAAATGACGAAATATTGTGTTATACAATACCTGACATTTTAAACACTTTTAAAATCATGAAATTTAAATGCTGTTTAACCTAAACAAAATACAACATGTTTAATATTATTAAATAGAGAGCCACTTTAATGTAATATTTTATCTATGGAATAAATTTTTTTGACATAATAGAATAAAGTATAAATTTTTTTTAATTAAATCGATATTTTCAAATATAGGCATTAGCCCTTAAATCGATATTTTTCAAATATATTGGCATTAGCCCAGCACAAGTTATAAGAGTGGTTTCTTTTACCTCAAGTCTAGCCCAAAATAATAAAATTATTGACACTACCCCACCCTTTCCTCCAGTTTCATCTTAAAATAATGTTCGCATAACTTTATACTATGTGATAATACATTACCCAACACCAAGGATGAGCACAATTACTCAAAAATGTAATAATTCATAATTACATTTACTTACAAAATTTTTGCAACTAATTCTCTTTTGCAAAATTTTAACAAAGAAGAAGAATGGTTAAAATTTTTAAACTTTGGGTACAATACTTTCAAAATACCTGACATATCACTCCAAAAATCATTAACTCAACAAAGAAAAGATGCCGGTTTAAACATCAACACTCATCTTCATGAGTCCCAAATCTTCAGACATCCCATAAACAAAAAAAAAATAACCCCACTTCAACAAAAAGCCTCATTGATTTCGAAGAAAATTGACAGTCTTAATATCAATGGGGCCCTCAAACTCATTTCAACCAATGACACTCTGGCGGAATCCAATTTAGAAACCTTAATTAAGCTTCGATCAAAGCATCCCACAACAACATTTATGCCAATATTGCCCCAACCCTTCTCCCATTGTGCAGCAGATTTCACACAGGAAGAAGTAAGGAAAGCAATCCTATCTTTTCATCGGGATTCGGCTCATGGTCTAGATGGGATTAGACCAATTTTTTTACAGGACATTACCTCTCCTGTGATCTGTACACAGGTTTCAATTCTCACTAAAATCACAAACTTAGTCAACAAAATCCTAAATGGAGACGTACCCAGCTTTATTACCCCCTTACTATTCGGTGCCAGACTCATCGCACTCCAAAAACCAAACAAGGACATTCGGCCCATCGCCATTGGTTCAACTTACCGTAGATTGGTCGCTAAATTAATCGCATCTAGAATCAAACACGATGCCGCACACATTCTAAGCCCCTATCAACTTGGTGTAGGGATACCTGGTGGGTGTGAAGCTGCTGTGCACTTAACAAGAATTCACCTTGAAAATAACCCAAAAAACGAATCCATAGTAAAAATTGACTTCTCTAACGCCTACAACACTCTTTCGCGCAACACGTTCCTACATTCAACTTGCTTCCATTTCCCAGCTTATACCAAATTTCTTTTCTCTTGCTACCAATCACCAACAATCTTACAATTCAACAAAGAAAAGATACTTTCTGTTGAGGGTATCCAACAAGGTGACCCTCTCGGATCCCTTCTCTTTAGTCTTGGAATCAATGACATGATAAAATCAATAAACTCTTCATGTACTCTATTGCTCCACGCTTGGTATATTGATGATGGAATCTTGAGTGGCCCTGTAATTAAATTGCCAAAGCAGTCAACATAATTAAAGAAATGGGCACAGCCATTGAACTTTCGCTTAAATAGAGCAAATCTGAATTCTCACTTTTAAATTCTAATGCTCCCAACACTCACGATTTCAAATTCACATCAAGCGTTGAATTAACACATCTAGGATCGCCTGTTGGAGGACACGAGGCAATAAGCACCTTTCTTCATTCCTCACTTGACATACTCCTTAAACTGGAGGACATCTTTACACTTCTTCCATCACACAAGTCCTTTTTTTTGCTAAAAAATTTCTTTTTTATACCAAGGATTCTTTACGCACTTCGGTCAACTCCAATTTTTAAATATCCTATTCCTCTCCAAACTTACGAAAAAGGAATAAAGGACTTAACCGAAAAAATAGTAAATATCAGATTCAACGAAACTGCTTGGGCCCAAGCAACTCTTCCAACCAAATTTGGTGGTCTCGGCATCAGATCTCCACTTGACTTAGCAACAACTACTTTCATATCGAGTAGTCTCTTGACAAAGCCAATAACCACCGCCCATAATTCTAAAGAAGACCTTTCCTTAATCGTTGCTATGGATATTTGGAAAACAAGGATCAATGCTGATTCTCATCCCCCCACAACCCATAAACAGAAAGACTGGGATGCACCAGTGGTTGCTCGCTGCGTTGAAACTCTCTTATCTAGCATGCAATCTACCGACCTCACCCTATTCTCTTCCTTGCTCAATGGTACGGGACATGAGTTTCTTGAGGCTATCCCATCTACCAATCTTCAGCTTCAACTATCCAACAATGAATTTACCCATGCCATCGGCATTCGTCTAAATTGTTCCATCACTCACCCCCACATCTGCTCAGGGTGCAACTCACCAGTTGACTCGAAGGGTAGACATAGTTTACATTGTCGCTCCTGCAATGGACGATTCATCAGACACAAGCAATGTAATACAATCATCCAACATGCTCTGAAATCCGCCCAAATTCCTTCCACGTTAGAACCACAGGGTCTTTTTAGATCTGACGGTAAACGTCCTGATGGGATCTCTCAAATCCCATGGAGGAGAGGCCAACTTTTGGTATGGGACTATTCCTGTATTGACCCCTTGGCCCCATCCAACCACGCCATCAACATCCTTGACCAGAAGGAACAACTTAAAATTTCTAAATACACAGAAATAATAAACGATCATTGCTTCATCCCAATCATATCAACCACTCTTGGCACCTTCGGCAAACTCGCCTTAGCATTTTTCAAAAAATTAGGATCACAAATCAGCAACTCTCAGAAGAACCCCGAGAGGGTTTTTTTCTTCGTCAACGATTATCCATAGCGATTCACAAAGCTAATTATATCAGTTTCTATGGTAGCCTTCTAGCCAAAGAGCTATCATAGACAACGCTTACGTCCCTTTTTCATTTTTGTATATATTATTGTATTCATATATCCTACTTTCAATTAATTATATACTTAAATAAACTATATTGTTATTATAATTACTAATTCCTTTAATTTTTTTTTTTCATCGAAATAAATGAATTTAAATTTTAATTTAAGAAACACTCAAAGTTTTTAAAATACGACTTATTTTTTATACTAAATGTAGTTTAGTCTATGCTAAATAACTTTTGAACTAGGGCACTCTATTTTGATTTGTTTTATATATTTAATGGTATCGTTATTTATTTTCTCGTATTCTTAAATTTTATCTTTTACTTCTTAGGCTATTTAGTCAAAGATAAATAGCCGGGTAATTCAAATCATGACATGGCCGAAAAATTTATATAAAAAAAGAAGATATATGCAAATTTATAGCAATAATTTACCATATTTAGTTATATACTAACCTCTTTATAGTTTTTAATTTCCATTTTTTATATTAAAAAAAACCAGCAAAGAGCTGGCTATAAAAGAACCGGCGGGGTCCAAATAGAGAAGGTCCAGGTCCAGCGAGAAACTGGATCTTGGATACGATTCATTTCTAATAATATCTATCTCATTCAGTTTACATAAATTAGTACAAATTGGTGCGAGGCGAGGAAATGTCAGTGCCCTATAGGTCTTTATGAGATTTAAACAGCTGATACCTATGATAAGCTAAGTAATTTTTTTATGATGGCATCTACCTGGTTGCTGGCATAAAGCCTTATAGTTTGTTTTCATTGAAACATACCCTAATATAACGCAAGAGTTGACTTAACTTGTTGGCATACAGTGCAAGGATATCTCATAAGTAAAATAATTTAAGTAACCCACACGCCTTAGTTTATTTTTTTTTAAATTCTGCCCATTACAGATCTCTAATTAATATATCACCGATTTATAAACATATGATATGACAAGTCAATAAGTATAATGCACTTAATGTGTAAGAGGGCCATTGATGACTGTTTGTTTTTATGGCATTAAATTACATACTATTCCATATAAATAATAGTTTTAAAAAGGTGGTGATTGTCTTACTTTAACCAACGCTTGTTTAATAAATACAACTTCTAAAAAGAATATACATATAAAATTCGTTATATTTCATCAAGCGCACTTATAAATAAGTTATAAATATAGATTAAATCCTAAATACAAATAGTATCACCAACAAATTTTTTTTATATATTAAATATATATTATTGTACTATTTTTTTTAAAAAAATAAAGATTGTTAATAACAAATTGAATAATTTTCTAATATAATTTCTAATAATATATTTAAATTTTTTAAATAAAAATTACTTAATAAAAACGTTTTTATGTTATTTTATTTATTATGAAAATCGCGAATAACATTCACACAAAGATCATAGCGCAGTTTACTCGGGGACAAAATAGGGAGCCAAATAAAAATATATATCATACGTGATAGATTTTTTTCTGGCATTAAAAAAATAAGGCTATAAATTTTAAACTAAGATAAAAAGCAACTAACTTTTAGGTAAATATCAACAATTGGATTGGTGGTCTGTCATAAAAATAATTTTAATCTTATATTTTTGTGATAGTTTTCAGGATAATTCGAAAGTGATAATCAATCATCATGACAAATTCAAGGATCGCAATCTTTTTTACCATCCCACCATTCCGATATTTTGTATGACTTCGCGGGAATATCCTTGAGGTGCAAATGGCGACAAATTTGACACAGGTAATTATCGCTATCTTCTGCCGGGTTGGATCCTAAAGCGAATTTACTTCTCCAAGCGTGATATTCATTGTAAAGGGTTTCGTTGGAGTCCAATTTCAGCAGATATTTAGCTAACTCTTTTAGATTGTGGACATGAAAATAAGGATGAGGTAACGATATTTTGGACGAATGGTTAAACGATTTTTCTGTTTACAGTGAAAAAAAAAATATGAGTTTAAAAAGTATGAGCAGTATGCCAAACAAGTGGTTATTAAATTGTATTATTCATAAACATCTGACATAGATCTACCTAGGTGGCACTAGCCTTTTCAAATTAAAGGGACTCATTTCCTTAAAATTTCTAACATTACCAAAAAAGGTAATTTTTTAAAATGAGCATAAAAATTATATTTAAAAATAACACAAAAATTATACCTAAAATTAGCACAAAAAAAATATTATTACCTAAAGTTCTCCTAAAATTAGCAAAAAAAAACTTAATATTTTTCAGAGGGGCTCTTCCAAGTTTCCAGAGAGTTTGAGCCCCTTATGTGTCCCCTCCTAATAAAATTACGAAAAATGGGAAAAAAATTAAATTGATAAGATAAGAGAAAATTTTTGATCACTGAAAAGAAGAGAATATTAATTATAAAAATAGTAAATTTTGAGCAGAGGTGTTAAGCGATTTATTTCTCTAAAAAACGTTTCGTTGTTTAAAAAAATGTGCAACTCACGAACTATTTCGCATTTTTTAAGATAAAAAGAAAGCTGACCAATTTGCACGTTCTTAATTGAATCGCATTATTTAAAATTTAAGGCAAAACGCCAACTTGTAAAAACTGAGAAATACGTAAATAAACATATTTTTAAAAAAAAGAAACGTGTTTATTAATCAGAAATGGGGTCCTTATATTTTAAAATATATCGCGAAAGTTAATTCCAACAAACTCTGAACATGAAAATGATAATTTTTGAAATAAAAGGGACATTTATAATATTATGGATAAAATAAATGTAAAAAAATGGTTTATTTAAACATTATGATAAAGGCAATTTATTTTAAAATATTTTACAATAAAAATCAGTGTAAAATTTTTTAGGTGTTAGTTACTCAAAAATAATGAACTCTAAAATTGACTCCATATTACAACTTACGAGGTTTCCCATTCAAAAAAGGAAAAGAACCAAAAACAGGAAAAATTCCAATAAAAAAAAGGAAAAGTCTCCCAAGGATAAGCACACAAGAAAAGGAAAAAGTTTAATCAAAAAAAGAAAAATTCCCATTCAAAAAGGATAATCATTATTTATTATATATTTTTTTTAATTAATCTTGAAATGTCATTTTTTTAGAAGAAAATATTTTAGGCTATTAATTTTCTTTCTTAGTTTTTTCTAAATTTTTGCGCTCTCTCTATAATTTGAAGTCATCGTTTCTCAATTTTTATTACTGCCTTTTTTAAATAGTTTCTTTATTTTCTGCCATCTTTTATCATTTATCTTGTAACGATTGCGGGAAATAAGGTAATTTAGTAATAACATACCATTTTAAAATTAAATAACTGGTAACTACAATAACAATAAAATCACGGATCGAAAGTGGTCATATTCATATCGGGGGCTGACTTAAATATAAAATTTTCAAATGCCGGGCCTAATTTTTATATATAATACTCGAGCCAGATAGATTTATCTCCCATAATTGTAATGAGATAGAGATGAAAAATCAGACATTTAATATAAAGTAATAAATTTATATCTGAAATCTATGTTTCCATTTTCTATATGATATCATGGATAAAGACCGTATCAAATTAAGAGAAACCCAAAAGAAAGAAGGGATGAAATAGACATTAGTAAATATAATTTATATATTGCAATGTTAGAATAAACATAAAAACATATAAAAGTATATACCTGAATAAAATGAGCATTAAAAAAAAATATTTTATAATTCCACATGCATAATTACAAAACCCCGTATATAATCAATTATCTAGTTTAAATTATATACACTCACCCATGGCTTCATCGTCCCTCACTCCCAGAGGGGAGGCCACGTAGATGAAAGAAAATGGCGGGGCCACCTTGGCATAATCCGCATACCGCGCACCATACACCACAGGCACAGTTCCTACAGAAAGTGCGCGAAACACTTTTTCGGTCACGTAATGCGCGCAATTGCTGTTCTCGAAAGCGAGATAGAATTTATAAGTGGCCGTGAGGCTCTGTTCACATGCCTGATCGCGAATGCTTTGATCGTCCTCATCAGCAGTGGAGGAAGTTACACATATTCGGGCACCGGTAAATGATAAAAAATCTTGGCTCGAGCATAGGCCATGGATATCTAAGGAACGTGAGTGGTCTAGATTTAAGAAAACAAATATGATGGTTAAATTTTATTAAAAAAGGAAAAAAATAAAGATAAAATGAGAGAAAGTGGATAAGAACCAGGGCAGTACATTTTATTATATATATTTTTTTTAAACTATATTAACTAAATATAAATAATTATTTTCGGCCCAGATTGTTAAGCCCGGTTCAGGATTCGGGCTGATATGCAGGGCGCTACGAGTAGTGATAACGGTTGACTAAACGTTTATAGCATCGATTTATCTAAATTTATTTTCATAATGTATAATGCTAAATATTGCTGATTAATCTATAATAGGAAATAATACGTATCCTAATATAAAATAAATATACACCTTTTAACAATAGAATAATTGCCTCCCATTCCCATTTTCCAGTAAAAATTCCTAAACAGGTGGAAAAAGACAACAAAAATAACATTTTGTTTAAGTATGAGACTTATGAATTTTTTTTTCAAAGATACTTAGGTGGCAGATATTGTAATTAAATTATTTTTTTTTAAAAGGACTGGCGGTAAATTTCTAAACGATTGTTATGAGGAATTAATTTAGTCTGTTAACATTTATAAGTGTAACTTTGCGCCCACCTGATTTATAACTTTTGGTAAGCAAATAACGTAATAAATTAAGATACAACCGTCACAAGTTTGGACAACAATTATATCTTAATATACTTTACAGGTGAATATTCTTAAATTAAATTATTGATATTAAACTGTTTTTTTTAAAAAAGAGAGAAGGAATATTCTTTTATATATAATTATAAGATCGCATTGTGTATAAAAAAGATTTTTTTTACTCGACGATAATGGTGTCCTAAAGGAAGCTAGATGATCCCGAATTTCGTTTATGTATTCTATATGTAAATTAAATATTTTTAAAATTTCTATTAATATATTTCTTCTTCTAGGTAGACCCAATAAAACTATCGGCGGCCAGCGCGAGTTTTAAAAATATAATCGGCGGCCAGCGGTGCACCGTTTTTAGCCGCCGTCAACATAAGCCGCGTAAATCGGCGCCCTGGCATAAATTTTTCATAATATATACCTATTTATTTTTAAATGAATATTTTTTAAAAAAGCTAAATTAAATTTAAATATACACTACAGATATATCTGCATATTTTTAGATCTTCATTGAAAAAAAAAATTAATTTGCAGGAGATAAAGATGATCTCCTTGAATTCAACATCAAGTGGTAAAGAAAACCCTTTCACTAGGTGTGCGAGTAATCAAGAATTAATATAATATTACAAAAACATAATTAATATGTTAAGATTGTAAGTAATACAAAATATCGAGATAAATCGAAAACGTTAAAAAATATATTATTAATTAATTATAAGGGAAAAATGCCATAATTTTGAATTTCAGTTATGGAGAAGTATCATATAATATTAGCGTTTCTATTTCATTTCTGAAATGTGATGCTATCAATGTAGGCCATAAATTTCGAAAGAAAAATTAATAGTTTATCTACGAGATCCTATTCTTAATTTAAGATAATGCTTTTAATTCTAAACAATATTTATTAAATTTTCATTTAGCTATAGATAATGATTGTCGAGAAATAATTAATATGCTATGCCATCTGGTTGGGACATATTTTAATGTTCTCATTTGAGTGGGATTATTATTATTATTATCACCATTGGAATCGCCAAATTGTGAATGGGTATCAGGGTTTAGATCAGTGCTATCAAGATCTAGCATAATGTAAGATCTATTTTATTTAATCATCATTTTCTTAGATAACATTGTACAATTACAACAGTGATGTTGACCAATAATTAGAGTAAAAATGTATATAGGCCGAACCGGCAAAACTTTTTTAAAAAAATATTTCGAGTTCGGATCGGGCCGGCAAAATATTTGGGCCGAGCTTGAAAAATTAGGCCTGATGCAGATCACTGATATATACTATAACTAAGAAAAAATGAAATTTTACTTCCTTACACTACTTACTCACTAAGATATGGACGTTTAAAGAGCGAAAAAGTGGTACATTTTTGATAAAATTCACTTATTTAATTTTCAAATATCTCAAAAATAAATTAAGTTAGAGCAATAATTTAAATTATATTATAAAGCTTATAATAGATCTATTATACGACATATAAATAAATGTGATAGAAACCCGATTAATACCAAAAACTGGAAGTACAAAACGAAATTGCCATAGGAAAAAAAGGTATTTTTTTTAAATTTTTCTCTGTAGATGTATTTTAGATTGCTTTTATATTTGTACAAAATCCTAAACTGGGCTCATGGGTCTAGGAGTTATAACCCTTTATATGGCAAAATTGATCAAATTTAACATATATCATCATAGTGGCCTGCATCGGGCTTAATTTTTCAAGCCCGGCCCGGAATTTTTCCGATGCAGGTCACTATGATGATATATGTTAAATTTGATCAATTCTCGAAATTTTTTTAAAAAAGTATTGCTGGCCCGGCCCAGCATGAATTTATTTAAAATATAGAAATTAATTTATAGAATTATTCAAAATAAAAGACATATGTTATAGGGTGTCTAGTTTCTATAAATAAAACAAATATTTTTATTTTACATAAAAAATTAAATATAAAATTGTTAAACTTAGATATATTTTAAAAAAACCAAGGCCCGACCCGGCCCGAATATTTTAAAGATATTAGGCCCGACCCGGCCCGATTTATTTTTAAAAAATTAGTCCCGAGCCCGACCCGAAGCCCTTTTGGGCTGGGCCGGGGGCCTACTTTTGCAGATCTCTATATCATCATATTTAAATTTAATGGATGCTTATGTAAAAATTTTTATTTAAAAAAAACTATTTGAGAGGGTGTGAGGGTGGGCAATGTGGTTTCTTTAACAATTTGGTTAAATTTTCTCTTGAAATTACTTTGCAAAATAATTTTAAATCTGTAATTTTATAGCATAAATCAAAAATAAAAGAACGACTATGACGGCTTAATTAGACAAGTAATAAAATTGAACTTATTCTTTAAAGGGAGGGCAGAGTAGCCAAAGTTCATTATTTTTCTGATGGGGCAGTTACCCAATATAAAAATATAAAAACTTTATTAACCACTACAATCATGAAAATAATTTTGGAATAAAGGCAGAGTGGCATTTATTTGAAACCGCACCTGGTAAACGTCCCTGCGACAGTTTCAGTTAGCAGTTCGACCTAGCTTGCAACGTTCATATGATCATATATTGACAACAACGAATTTATATAACTAGCAAGAAATAACATCAGAGGAATAAATTAAATATTTGTGAGCATTTATGAATATCTAAGTATAAAAATCATCTTAAAAACAGGTTTTTGACAACAGAACAAATTTCTGGAACACAAAATTTTATAGTTTTATTTCCCAATAAGAAAATAAAATGAATGTGAAAATTTATTCAAATTCTTCGGGTGAATTAATATATAATATATTTTAAAATTTCTATTTAATATAAATTTGTGATATGTATTACATGTAATTATAGAAATTATTTTGCCAAATAAAGTTATAAATATGTTTTGAATGATTTTGCCACGTAATTTTAAAATAAAGATAAACCATATTGACCATCCCCTCCCTCTCAAAAGATTTTTTTAAATAATAAAGTAAGGGTCTCTCATTTGGACATAATTTTAAAATAAAAAATATTACGTAAGCATCTATTAAATTTAAATATGATGATATTTATCTTAAATTTGATCAATTTTGCCATATAAAGGGTTATAACTCCTAAACCCACGTTCAACCAAGTCTAGGATTTTGTACAAATATAAAACAATCTGGTATACACCTACAGTGAAAATTAAAACATACTTTTTTTAATGACCATTTTGTTTTGTACTTCCGGTTTTTGGTATTAATCGGGTTTCTATCAGATATTTATATGTCATATTAAAGAACTATTATTAAGCTATATAATAAAATTTAAATTATTATTCTCTCTTAATTTATTTTTGAGATATTTGAAAATTAATGAAGTGAATTTTATCAAAAATGTACCACTTTTCGGCTCTTTAAACGTCTATATATTAGTGAGTAAGTGGTGAAAAAAAGTAAAATTTCATTTTTTTTCTTAGTTATAGTATATACTACCAATATACAAATCTAAAAAAATTAGGGGGTTGGGTTGAAAATCGACTTTTTTTTGTTGAATTGATATGGAATTCACCAGGGATTCGAACCGAACCCGAACCCGGAGAAGTGAACCCGGGTTTTTAGAAAAAAACTCTGAACCCGAACCCCATTTATAAAATTTTCAAAACCCCGAACCGAACCCAAGAATTTTATTTGAACCCGGGTTCAATCGGGTTCAGTGTATTATTTAAAATCATATATTAATATATGTAAATACAAATATTATATTTTCAAATTTCCAATTAAATGAAGTCTTAATAAATTTTAAACAACTTAATTCATTTATGCCATTTTTAAATTTATACTCGATTCCTATTGGAGTGTTAAAAATTTTTAAACAATTGAATTAATTTACGCCATTTATTTTTAAATTTTTATCTTATTATTCTTAAAGATTATTAATTAGAAGAAAATGGTTAACAAATCAAAGTAAAAATTATTATATTGTTAATTTAAAAAATTCTAAACATCTAACCTAAAAATTGTTAAATGTAGGGCAGTTTTTGTGAACTTATTAAAATTTATATATGCTAATCATTTATTTTTGGTTCAGTTTAATTTTTACAAGATATTAATGAAGTGCATATTATAAAAGAAATTAAATTTATAAATATCTCTTTTTTAATTCTGAAATCATTGCTATTTAAAAAAATTGTTCTCTTATTATAGATTTAAGATTAAAGATAAAGTCATATTTGATAAGCATTTTACCCTTAATACAATAGAAAAAAAATCAATATGTTCATATTGCAAAGTAAAAATGTCTGGTAATCACTTGTCAAATTTAGAAAGACACCTGGAAAGAAATCACAACAATGAATATTTTCATTATTTAAATGAAAAAACCAAATATCAGGAATTGTTATTGACAAAAAAACCTAAAATTAATATAGAAACCTTTTTTCCAAAAAAGCATATAAGTATAAATATATCATCTAATGATTTGATGAGTTCTATACTAGAACTTGTTACTGTAAATGGCCGGCCTTTATCAATTATTGAAAATTCGGGATTTCAAAGAATTATAAATCCACTCCTATCTGGGCTCAATTTAGTTATAAACAAAGAAAATTTATCCAGAACTATTAATAAAACAGCCCAATCAATTAGAGACAAAATATTGAGAGGTAGAAGGAAAATTAATAAGTTTAAAAGTTGATGCAGTTCAACGACTAGATAGGTCAATTCTTGGTGTAAATATTCAATTTATATCAAAGTCCATTATAAATTTGAGGACTCTTGGAATTGTAGAGCTGAAAGAGAGATGTACAGGAGAATATATTAAAAACTTTACTAAAATTTAAAATTAATATTCAACAAATATACACAATTACTTCTGATAATGGTTGTAATTTTTTAAGAGCTATAAAGCTCCTGCAACCTGAAACTGATTATGATATAAGGAGTGAATCAGCAGATGAGGAAAATATGGATGTAAATGTATATAAATATGATATTGATGATATACAAAATACTTTTTTATCAACTATTATATCCTATCCGATTTATAGTGTACGGTGTGCAGCTCACACACTTCAGCTGGCACTTCAAGATGCTATAAAATTATCACCTATTGTGGAAACCATTGCAAAGGCTAGGAGCCTAAATTTAAAATTAAGACATCCCACTTACCAAAAGTTATTAAAAAATATGAAACTCCCTAAGCCTGTGTTAGATTGCCACAGATGGCATTCAACCCATGATATGTTAGAAAGGCTGATTTTACTAAAACCCAATATCGAAGATTTTTTTACAGAGCAATCTGGTTATTTATTGACTGAAGATTGGAAAGAGATAATAACGATTGTTGAAATTTTAAAACCGCTAAAAATCGCAACCAAACAATTCCAATCTGAACAGTTAACACTGACAGATTTTTATGCAGCATGGTTAAGATGCTGCATCGAACTGGAAAAAAATCCAAACCATTTTGCTCAATTACTGTATTCTTGTCTTAAGAACAGAGAAGAAAGGTTTATAAAGAACGAAATTCTCTTAGCTGCCATATACCTGGACCCAAGATACAAGGTTAATTAAAAGCTTAGTAAATTAATTATTTTAGATTTATATTAAAATTGTTATTTTATGAAATATTTAAATATAAACAATATAAATCCTTAAATATTACAGGTATTACTTAGTGATGATGATAAGATTTGTGCGAAAAAACATCTTGTCAATTTATGGAGACGAATTAAAAGCTTAACAACGCCGATTTTATCTGATGATATTAGTTCCGATGAAGTTATTGAACAAGAAGATGATTTAGAGAAATTGATACAACTTAAAGAAAGGCAGGAGAAAATACTTAAAAGAGGGCCAACGATTGCTGAGAAAAGTATTGGAACAATAATTACTGGATTTAGCGATTATAAAAGATTAGATAAGAAGGAAAATATTTTGCATTTTTGGGAGTCTGCTAAGCTGGAACACCCTGAATTATATATTTTATCTAAAATCTTATTTGCTGTTCCTGCAACCCAAGTTAATTTTTCATATTTTCACATATAAATACATTTAACATAGGTTAGCGTTGAAAGATCTTTTTCACATTTGAAATTCATTCTTTCACCACATAGATCGAGGATGAGTGAACAACTCTTGGAAGATATTATGCTAATACGTCTAAATAAAATTTTTAAAATTGATACATGACTATATGCTTTATATTTTTAACCAGGGATGCGAACCCGACAAAATTTTAGACCGGGTTCGGTTCGGGTTCGGTTCGGGGTATAAAAAAAAGTTGGGTTCGGTTCGGGTTCGGTTCAGGGAAATATTTTTGAACCCGGGTTTGGTTCGGGTTCGGTTCGGGTTCAAGAATTTTTGAGTTGATAAAAAAAATTCTATATTTAAATCATAATAAAAAACTAGACATAAATTTGATATAAAAAATAAATTTTTTATTTTATTTATAGGCAAATATAGTTAAAAATACAAAGCATATAGTCATGTATCAATTTTAAAAATTTTATATAGACGTATTAGCATAATATCTTCCAAGAGTTGTTCACTCATCCTCGATCTATGTGGTGAAAGAATGAATTTCAAATGTGAAAAAGATCTTTCAACGCTAACCTATGTTAAATGTATTTATATGTGAAAATATGAAAAATTAACTTGGGTTGCAGGAACAGCAAATAAGATTTTAGATAAAATATATAATTCAGGGTGTTCCAGCTTAGCAGACTCCCAAAAATGCAAAATATTTTCCTTCTTATCTAATCTTTTATAATCGCTAAATCCAGTAATTATTGTTCCAATACTTTTCTCAGCAATCGTTGGCCCTCTTTTAAGTATTTTCTCCTGCCTTTCTTTAAGTTGTATCAATTTCTCTAAATCATCTTCTTGTTCAATAACTTCATCGGAACTAATATCATCAGATAAAATCGGCGTTGTTAAGCTTTTAATTCGTCTCCATAAATTGACAAGATGTTTTTTCGCACAAATCTTATCATCATCACTAAGTAATACCTGTAATATTTAAGGATTTATATTGTTTATATTTAAATATTTCATAAAATAACAATTTTAATATAAATCTAAAATAATTAATTTACTAAGCTTTTAATTAACCTTGTATCTTGGGTCCAGGTATATGGCAGCTAAGAGAATTTCGTTCTTTATAAACCTTTCTTCTCTGTTCTTAAGACAAGAATACAGTAATTGAGCAAAATGGTTTGGATTTTTTTCCAGTTCGATGCAGCATCTTAACCATGCTGCATAAAAATCTGTCAGTGTTAACTGTTCAGATTGGAATTGTTTGGTTGCGATTTTTAGCGGTTTTAAAATTTCAACAATCGTTATTATCTCTTTCCAATCTTCAGTCAATAAATAACCAGATTGCTCTGTAAAAAAATCTTCGATATTGGGTTTTAGTAAAATCAGCCTTTCTAACATATCATGGGTTGAATGCCATCTGTGGCAATCTAACACAGGCTTAGGGAGTTTCATATTTTTTAATAACTTTTGGTAAGTGGGATGTCTTAATTTTAAATTTAGGCTCCTAGCCTTTGCAATGGTTTCCACAATAGGTGATAATTTTATAGCATCTTGAAGTGCCAGCTGAAGTGTGTGAGCTGCACACCGTACACTATAAATCGGATAGGATATAATAGTTGATAAAAAAGTATTTTGTATATCATCAATATCATATTTATATACATTTACATCCATATTTTCCTCATCTGCTGATTCACTCCTTATATCATAATCAGTTTCAGGTTGCAGGAGCTTTATAGCTCTTAAAAAATTACAACCATTATCAGAAGTAATTGTGTATATTTGTTGAATATTAATTTTATATTTTAGTAAAGTTTTTAATATATTCTCTTTTATATATTCTCCTGTACATCTCTCTTTCAGCTCTACAATTCCAAGAGTCCTCAAATTTATAATGGACTTTAATATAAATTGAATATTTACACCAAGAATTGACCTATCTAGTCGTTGAACTGCATCAACTTTTAAACTTATTAATTTTCCTTCTACTCTCTTGATATTTTGTCTCTAATTGATTGGGCTGTTTTATTAATAGTTCTGGATAAATTTTCTTTGTTTATAACTAAATTGCGCCCAGATAGGAGTGGATTTATAATTCTTTGAAATCCCGAATCTTCAATAATTGATAAAGGCCGGCCATTTACAGTAACAAGTTCTAGTATAGAACTCATCAAATCATTAGATGATATATTTATACTTATATGCTTTTTTGGAAAAAAGGTTTCTATATTAATTTTACGTTTTTTTGCCAATAACAATTCCTGATATTTGGTTTTTTCATTGAAATAATTTAAATATTCATTGTTGTGATTTCTTTCCAGGTGTCTTTCGAAATTTGACAAGTGATTACCAGACATTTTTACTTTGCAATATGAACATATTGATTTTTTTTTCTATTTTATTAAGGGTAAAATGCTTATCAAATATGACTTTATCTTTAATCTTAAATCTATAAAAAGAGAACAATTTTTTTAAATAGCAATGATTTCAGAATTAAAAAAGAGATATTTATAAATTTAATTTCATTTATAATATGCACTTCATTAATATCTTGTAAAAATTAAACTGAACCAAAAATAAATGATTAGCATATATAAATTTTAAAATCATTTTAATAAGTTCACAAAAACTGCCCTACATTTAACAATTTTTAAGTTAGATGTTTAGAATTTTTTAAATTAACAATATAATAATTTTTACTTTGATTTGTTAACCATTTTCTTCTAATTAATTTAAGAATAATAAGATAAAAATTTAAAAATAAATGGCGTAAATTAATTCAATTGTTTAAAATTTTTTAACACTCCAATAGGAATCGAGAATAAATTTAAAAATGGCATAAATGAATTAAATTGTTTAAAATTTATTAAGACTTCATTTAATTGGAAATTTGAAAATATAATATTTGTATTTACATATATTAGTATATGATTTTAAATAATACACTGAACCCGATTGAACCCGGGTTCAAATAAAATTCTTGGGTTCGGTTCGGGGTTTTGGAAATTTTATAAATGGGGTTCAGGTTCGGTTCGGGTTCAGAGTTTTTTTCTAAAAACCCGGGTTCACTTCTCCGGGTTCGGGTTCGGTTCGAATCCCTGTTTTTAACTATATTTGCCTATAAATAAAATAAAAAAATTATTTTTTATATCAAATTTATGTCTAGTTTTTTATTATGATTTAAATATAGAATTTTTTTTATCAACTCAAAAATTCTTACAACCGAACCCGAACCAAACCTGGGTTCAAAAATATTTCCCTGAACCAAACCGAACCCGGGCAAAAATTTTGTCGGGTTCGTATCCCTGGAATTCACCATATATATTTTTATTATATTAGTCAAAATATTTTTTAATATATATTTATTTAAATTATATGCTCATATAAGATAAAATGAATTTTGCATTCAAATATTTCCATTTTTAAGATAAAAAAGCGTTAAATAAAAGTATATAAAATGTATCGAAAATAGATTTTTTTTATTAACTGTATCTAGATACAGATATGGTCTAGATATTTTAACAACTCTCCATATCAGTAATTGATTCAAATTTCAAAATATATATATAATTTTTTTTTATAAATTTAATAATTTTTTTAAATTTATATATTTTTTTAAATTTGATAATTTTGTAAATTTATATATATTTTTTTTAATTTGATAATTTTGTAAATTTATATATTTTTTTAAATTTAATAATTTTGTAAATTTATATATTTTTTTAAATTTGATAATTTTGTAAATTTATATATTTTTTTATATTTAATAATTTTTGTAAATTTATATATATTTTTAAATTTGATAATTTTATATATTTTTTTAAAATTTGATAATTTTGTATATTTTTTTTAAATTTTATTTTATTCCTGATTTTAATTATTTTATATTCGTTAATTATAGGCCCGTTATTAAAATAAGATTTTATTATACTTTAAGTCTTAAATTATTATCATCTATCCATGCATGATTGATAATTTTAAATGATTAAATCTAAACAAACAGATCATTATACGCATTACACACTCATAATCTTAAAAACTGGGGAACCATTTCTGGACAAACCTCATTTTAAAATTTTACCTGATCCCGAACATAGCTCATTAGGCCTAAAAACCATATTAAAATTTATGAAATTCATAATAAACCAAAATAAATTATGAAAAATATAGTAAATCCTTGCAGGCAAATGATTTGGTTGATTGCATCATTGCATGTAGGGATGTACCATTTTATTTTTTTTAAATATCTGTTATCGGCTAATATTATAACCCGATTCGATCCCATAAAATGGCGGCTTAATTTTTAAAATTTCATAATATATTTGCTTGTTACTTATTATTAGGGCTGTGCCTATATTTAATATCGGATCGGCCTCCAAAAAGTGGTATCGGTACATGCCTAATTGCATGCAAGGTTTAAAAAACTATCATAACGGAAATTACGTTATTTTTTTTAAAAAACCCCAATATTAATCGAGCAATATATTATTTTACAAAAATCAATATACACCTTTTTATAAATACGATTTTGAGGTTATATTATTTTACAAAAATCAATATACACCTTTTTATAAATACGATTTTGAGGTATAACAAATAAAAAATATATTTATTATTTTTCATTCTTTCCTTTCTCAATATTTAAAATACATTTTGCGTGGAAATAAAAATACTTAATCGATTATTTGTGGTGGCACAATTGCTGACAAAACTGACGGCCAATTTATTTTTCCCTCCAGAGAATTTCTGAGCGTTGGAAGCGCTATTCGTAGAAGGGGCAGATTCTTCTATTTTGTAAAAGCCTCCATAAGGAACAGGGATGTCCGAATGGGGTAAGTAAGTAGAGGTCCAGTTGAAGATGTCATCGTAAGATTTTATGTTGCACATGAATTTCCAAGAGTAAGAGCAGGTGTGATGAGGAGATTCCTAAAGATATTTTTAGGTCCAAAAAAGGTGCATAATTAAATAATGATAATGAATAGGAAAGTGTTCGAGATTTAAAAATGTCAGACAGAAAATTTGTCAACAAATATTTCATAAAGTATGAATTGCTATTGAATGTCATTTAAAAATGTTTTTTTAATGGGAAATAGTAAAAGTACAATAAGCCGAGACGGCCCGCGGCCCATGGGTCGGGTATGGGCTTAATATTATATTTTCTAACGGGTCTGGGTGGATTTGGGTAACAATTTATTTCTTCTTCTAATAATAAATTTCAGTATTGAAAATAAAATGATAGCCTAAATATACTGAAATATTGTCATTATCATTAAATACAATAAATTAAACTTTTGGATAGGACTTGGGTAGAATTTTTGAAATTTATTATGGGTTTGTGAATTTTTTTAAATATTAAATATAGACCGGGTCTGAGCTTATAAATTTCTTTTTACTGCGGGTCTGGGTCGGGCCTGATCAAAAAATCCAGGCCAATAAAGGTCTCTGGGGTGAATAGGGTAGATCTCAACCTATCTAAATTTTTAAATATTAATTTGTTATTTTTTTTGTTATTTTTTCTTAGATTTTTCAAATTTATCAAGAATTTATACAAAAATGGATTATATCATACCTTTTGTCCTTTCTTTTTGAACTTATAAGTTCCATTTGTTAGGTATGCCTCCGATACAGATAATTAGATCCCATTTATATATCCACAATGATTTTTATACTGAAACTTTAAATAAATGTATCTTTATTATAAGGAGAGGATAGCGTATAATTCAAACTTTAAAATCATACGTACGATATCATAATAATAGGTTTTATGCTTCTCGCTAAATATCGTAAATCTCTATCAAAAAATCTCAGAGGTGGACAGTAAAACCAGAAAAATTGTGGACTTTAAAATGTGAGAGTTGATAAGTGCTTTTAATTTCGTTTTCTAATGTTGGCTAATCGGACTTCCATAAAAACGGAATATTCAATTTTATTTCTTTTACAAATTTTCTATAATTTTTAATAAATTAACCCAAATTCCTTAGATGGTTTATATATTATAATTAAAAAAATGATGGATTATTAAAAGCATTTTTTGAAAAAAAAGTATGAAAAGACGCATCAAAAATTTTAATCACGGTTAAATAGGAAATAATTTCGAAAATTTAAAGGTGTGTCAAATATTAATTTATTTATTATGTTTAAAAAAAATAAAATAAATATTTTTTGGCTTTGGAGATTTAGCATTCCCTGAAAAAAATTTCTTTTTATCATTATATTCCTTAAAAATCAGGGAAGTAAAATGATCAACATTTTTAAAAAAACAAAATCTGAGCTGGGATCGGGGTTTTCTCTCAAATTTTTTTTATGTTTTGTTTGGAATAGGTTCTAAATCGCGAAAAGAAAAATCACTAGAAATTGGGAATCCCGTTTATATCTCCTAGAAATTTTTTAAAGCAATATAGAAAATAATAAAAATAGATGTTACGGAAGTAAACAATCAATCGTATTTGAATAAGTTTTTTAAAAAAATCGCTATTAAAGTTATACATTCGAGAATCTTTATGTATTTCCCCCATTAATAGAGGTTTTATAGGAGTCATTTTCTTAGCATCTATCATAATTATATTTAATATTAAAATTCTTTAGGAGATATAAACAAGATTTTTAATTTTTAGTGATTAAGAAACGTGAAACTTTCTCTCAGGACATTTATAATATGAACTATGAGATTCGACAGAAGATAAATCTTTCAATGTATATTTTTAGTTATTATTAATTACCAAACTCAGTACCAAGCCTAATTAATGCAGGAATTTTGGGAATAATTATATCATCCATATTATTGTCACTATCAATGAGATCAGCTAAATAATAAATATATTACCAATTCAAATGCTACATTTTACATCCATTTATCTCCCCTGTTATTTCATTAAAGACCTGTTACATCTGGTGGTATAAATTTCCTACCTCATCTAATGAGAACTTTTGTAATTTAAATGATTATTTTATCTTGATTCATAGGTGTGATATCTTCAAAAAAAATCATTGAATTCATTTCAAAAATTGAGTAATTTAAAATTTTATTTTAAAATTACCACTAAATATAGAATAATTTGTGCCAATTCACCAAAAGAAGTATTTAACAAATCAATATTTCAAAATCACGTAATAAACACAAAATAATTTTTATTTTTAAAAAATCGCGGCGATTAGCTTTCGCTCGGTAACTATAAATGCGATATATATACTGTATTTTGTATTTATCGCGGCTAAATCGCGATCGCGCCACTATGAATTCATGAACAAGCAGTAAAATCCTATTACTTTAATAATAAATTTATATATTTTTATTCGATTCTTCTTGATGTTTGATTTATTACTTTATGAACTTATAACGTTAAAAGTTTGCCGAAATCTTAGTCTTCATGACCGATAGAAAAAAAAATTTTTGGAGTTTGATCGAATGAAATTTTACATGTTAATTTGGAATGGCGGGCCATAAAAAGCTTATCATTAGGAATTCTTATGAAAATATTATCATCAATATCCCAACCAAAATCTAACACTCTAACTAACTACCGTTTTTACGCTTATCAGTAGCATAAACATTGAGTTATAATTATTTTCTTTCTCATATTAGAGATAAATATCAGACCTGCAGGGCTAAACGCCCCTAAGCTTGACTCGAATCTAAAAATTTTTAAAAAAAATATCCGGGCCTGCCGTATACTTTAAAACCAAATATTTTAAATCGCCATTAGCTATAAAAATAAAAAAACCCGGGCCGTGTCTGGAAATATAAAAACCGAGCCGGACCGGAAATTACTTTTTTAAATCCGGGCTGGGCCGGGCCGTGCAAATGGTACCTACTGATAAATGTAGTTACCTAAAAACTATACCTAAAACAAATTATTCGCTATTTGATTCGATTTTATCCAATTCGTATTCGAAGGAAAATATATCATCTGTAGATATATTTTAATTTTACTATTCAATCTATTATTCTAAATTATCCATATAATTTAAAATTATTATTGTGAGAAATAGAAATAATTTGTAAATACTCGAAATTATTCGCTAATATTCGAAATAATTTTTAGATATTGGAAATAATTCGTAAACATTTGTAAATACTCGAAATTATTAATAAATATTTAAAATTATTTTTAATTATTCAACATGTTCCTTGCGGGACTTTTTTAAAATTTTATTTAGCTTTTTTTCAACATTTTATAAATCACTTTTTAAATTTTAATAATATTTTAGAAATTCTTCCTGATATCTATTTTAGTTTATCGAGTATTAGATGTATGAATTGAGGGTAACAACTTAAAAGAATCTGTGGAAGATTCAAATTAAAGGGGCGATAAAATTATTGTGGGAGCTGAAAATAATTATTAGTTTCTGCAGTACACTAGATTAAGAATGAAATTCCCACAAAGAATTCAATAATGGATAAAAATAAATTAATTTTAAAAAAAATGAAATATATGGTTTATCAAGATTAACAGGCCTTCTATATCAAAGTGAAATCCTGGTTGCAAGACTTCAAGAAGAAAAAACAGATTAGAGAGAGATTATTTTTAACCCTGCTATTTTAAAGATACTCTGTCAAACAGTTATTTTATTAATAATAAATATTCAGGGATGAACTTAGATATCTGCAATGGGCTATGGGTGGGGTGGGCTGGCTAAATGATGTTAAAGATAGGATAGATAAGTAAACAGGTTAGGAAATATTTTTAAAAGGGTGGGTGAATTTGAAATATTTTTCAAGAGAATAAACTTCCATTTAATATAAATCATTTTTTTATTTAATAATATTGCATATTTTATAATTAAGTAAAAATACATTATATATATAAAGAGCTAACAAACCGATAGTATAATTTATAAAATTGAGCAGGGTGGAGAGGGGGGGGGGGGTGGGTTAAACAAATTTTTTAGATAATTGGGTGTGGTGGGTAGGTGAATTTTAAAAAAATCATGGGTGGGTATGCCAGTTGGTTAAATTCTTGTGCATAAACCACTAGTAAATACCTATATATGAAATGGCTTTTTTAGCATATATTAGCCAGAGCTATATAAAAATGACTAAAGCTAGCCATAGCTATTACATGGTTTAATTTCAACCAATACCGAAAATATAGGTTATACACAAAAATATGTTAAATAATTTTTATATATTTTATATACTTTTTTTTTATAAAATGAAAATAAAATCTAAAAATATTTTACTAAATCAAAAATAATATATAAATTCTAATAAAAATTGAGTTCATTATGAGCAAAAGAATTAGCATGTTAAATTAATTAGTAAATGGGAATATTCTTATATATAAAGATTAGTATTTCCCCTCATCTATTAACACTAGCCCTTATCTTTGTTGCATAGCCCCAGAATGGCTAACATAGTCCATGAGCATGGAATCAGGCAACTACAACTGCATAGTTCATTAAAAACTAATAGAAAATTATTGGTTGCTTTAGCAGCCCTAAGTATCTGTTCAATTATAACAAATAATGTGGCTTTATTAAACATGCTGTGGAGTTCCGTTCAAATTAAAAGAAACTTATCCATAACTTTCTTTTAATTACCAAATGTAGTGGGCTTTATTTTTTATATATTTTGTCACACTAAAAAAAATAATATAATTTACCAATATTAAAATTTATAATGAATTTATGAGTAAATTAAAAATTAAAAAGGAATAGTGAAAAAATAAACAGTACCTTCCTTACATATCAGTTTATATATGTAATTTATTTTAGATAATTGTAGGCTAAAAATAAAATCAGATTAGTGGATATTGGTTATTGATAGTGGTTAAATTGAAGATATCAGCCTATATCAATGCCAAATAATGGTTGACTCTATATATTTACATAGCTTCCCAACAAATTTTAAAGCACTACCACCTTGGAGAATATCCTTACATATTAGATTATTAAAGTAATGATATAATTTTTATTGTCATTTATCTAAATGGTATAGCAAGCAAAATAATTATGATAAAAATAAAATAGTTCATTTAATTTTATAGTAAGAAAGGAAAAAAAATATTGTTAAATAAAATTTAATTTACTTGTAAAAAAAATATCCATGTTTGTTTTATTGGATGATAATTGGGCAATTTATGTAGCTTTATATCTCGCAAATGAACTAAAAGTGCATCTGCAAATGGGAAAAGATGTTTATTGTAAGAAACTTCACATGATGAATATCGGCAACTGTTAAATGGTACTCTTCCTAATTCTTTTATAAACCAATTCTGTGATTCAAAAAAAGGTGTCCATAAAATAATTTGTTTAACATCATGGGATGGTATATTAATATTTTGCCAATATATTTCATTTGATGTTGGATTTTTTTTAATAATATTTTGCATCCATATTAATATATTTCTATTATATAAGGATTCCTTGAATGTAAAATTAGCATGACTGAGTTTTAGCTTGTCAAAACTGAATAAATTAAAAATTTTGGCTGCATGATGATTAAAATTTTTTTGTAGTGATTTATCTTGAAGGTAATAAATGCAGGATAACAATAAAAACAATAATATAAAAATAAATTTCCAACGTTTTTTACCTTTAGCAAAATTTAGATTGTTAAAAAAATTATTTGATTTAATAAAATTATGAATATTGTTTTTGTATATATTTTTTAAAAGATTATTAAGATGCATTAATTGTATCATTTACTCTAATAGCCCATTTGAGAACAATGAGATTTTAGTTTTTGTGCCGGCATATGGAGATCAAATTTTTTTTAGAAATTTAATGCAATAGCATATTATCGAAACATATGAGAAACAAAATCAAAAATATAATTTAAAGATATACACCCAATGATCAGAGAAAACAATTATAGAGAAACTTTTACGGAGAAAACAATTATAGAGAATGTCAAATATAGAGAATTATTTTATAGAGAATTATTTTATAGAGAATTATTTTATAGAGAATTATTTTATAGAGAATTATTTTATAGAGAATTTTTTTATAGAGAATGTATTTTACAGAGAATTTTTTATAGAGAAAACTATTATAGAGAATGTCATTTATAGAGAATAATTTGAGAATGATTTTACAGAGAATAATTTGAGAATGATTTTACAGAGAATGATTTGTAGAGAATTATTTTATAAAGAATTTTACTTAAATTTATGATTATTTTATAAAAAAATGTTATAATAATCATAGGAAAAAAAAGTTATAGTATTTAATTTTAAATATTAGAATTATCTTATATAAGCAAGGTTTTTCGATTATTAGAGAAATTAATGGTAGAATAAAATTTTGACATGATTTGTAAAGAATTTTACGAATTTTATTTTTAAAGATAATTACAAAATAAAATAAGTGTTCTTAAAAGTTACTTTGACAATGTAATGCAACTAGTTAAGTTAGTAGTTAAATTTGGGAAAATATAACAAGTTACAGTTAATAGTTTTCTTTTTTTAAATATACCTAGCCACTAGTTACAATTATTTTTAGTGGATAGTAGATTCATGGCTAGCCGGATTGATTAAATTACGTTAAATCGAAGATTTAAATCATATAGTAAAGGAATTTTAAAAAAATTTACAAATTTAAATTTATTATTTAATTATATTTATTGAAATATATATAAAAATTAAGTAACCAGTTCGCGGATGCCTGTTTCATATGTCTCAATGCATAAGGTGCCCGGTTCAAAAAAATCCGCTAATTTTCAATGCATACAAAACCGAAACAAATTTTGCTATGTACATAAAAATGTTAATGTCACTGCCATATGTACCAATTGAGGATGTAATTCATGGATTCGAGGAATTATGTGCCTCTAAATTTTATCAAGTATTCTCTCCCCCTTGATAAAATACTTTGAAGAGACGTGGATTGGATAAATGATAGCGATGGAGAGCAAGTCGCCAATATTTAGCATTTCTCTATGGAATTGCTACGAATCGACACTATCTCGTGAACCGAATACAAATAATTCAGTAGAGGACTGGCATCAAAGTTTTTCGTCTCATATAAGTTACCATCATCCAACGATCTGGAAATTTATAAAGAGTTAGTAATTATATTATATTATAAATTTTAGCATTTTAATTTTTAGCTCTCAAATACGAAGATAGCCTGAATTGTTACAAACTGGAACAATATTCTTTAGGGCTATTGGCTCCGCTGTCAAAGATAGAATATCGCGAAAGATCCAAAAGGATTTTTCTAATTGTTGAAGATTTTTATTCAAATGCTGGATTATTTATGGGCTTTATCCCATAATTTAAATTTAATTTAATCATATTTTATTTTTTATATTGGTATATATTATTTATACTATGTTTATTTGGATTTTTTATGAATAGAAATTTATTTGATATTTCGAAATGAATATTGCTAAGCTCAGTATATTATCAAGGTTTATCTTATAAAAACTTCATATAACAGTATTAAACATATTCTTTAAGTCACATTGTTAAAGTAATATCTTTAAAAATTAATTTCATAAAATTCCTTACTAATCATGTCAAAATTTGGTTCATCTCTTAGTGACAAATAACCTTTAACTTAAGAATGGATTATCGGTGTGTCCCAAGAAAAATAATAATATAAGTAAGAACTAAATAAATTTTGCTGAAGATAAAAAAGTTTATAAATGAAAATCTCTACATTAGTTTTGTCAAATTAAGTGGTTACCATTAACTAGCTGCACTATAGCTAAAATATTTATAACTAGTTACATTTACAAAATCGTAACTGTAGCTGGCTACATTTTTTAGAAAGTAACTGCAAAAAGTAACTAGTTACTTAATTTAAATAAGTATAATTAAATAATAAATTTTAATTTGTAAAAAATTTTTATATTCTTTTACTATATGATTTTCCTTACAAATCATGTCAATATTTTGTTCTACCATTAATTCATCTAATAATCGAAAAACCTTGTGCAAAGATAAACAAATAATTTTCTGTACCGATTGTAATAATTGAAAAACTACCCATTTCTCTAATATAAGGTAATTCTAATATACAATATTATGTCAAATATTGAAATTTTTTTTCCTATGACTATATATAACATTTTTTATAAAATAATCATATTCTTAAATAAAATTCTTTATAAAATAATTCTTAAAATAATATTCTTTATAAAATAATTCTATAAAATACATTCATTATAAAATAATTCTCTATAAAATAATTCCCTATAAAATACATTCATTATAAAATAATTCTATAAAATACATTCATTATAAAATTATTCCCTATAAAATACATTCTTTATAAAATATTTCTATAAAATACATTCATTATAAAATAATTCTCTATAAAATAATTCACTATAAAATACATTCATTATAAAATAATTCTATAAAATACATTCATTATAAAATAATTCTCTATAAAATACATTCTCTATAAAATCATTCTCTGTAAAATCATTCTCTATAAAATCACTCTCTGTAAAATCATTCTCTATAAAATCATTCTCTGTAAAATCATTCTCTATAAAATCATTCTCTGTAAAATAATTCTCTATAATAATTATTCTCTATAAACGACATTCTCTATAATTGTTTTCTCTATAAGTGCATTCTCTATAAACGTCATTCTCTATATAAAACTTTCTCTATAAAATTTTCTCTATAAACGACATTCTCTATAATTGTTTTCAAGTGCATTCTCTATTTTTGTTTTCTCTATAAAAGTTTCTCTGTAAAATACATTCTCTGTAATGGTTTCTCTGTAATGACGTGGAACCCAAATAAATAAGTCGGCTAGAAATTTTCTTGAATTTGTCGTCATAGTAGATTGATATAAGCTAATTCATATTCTAAAAAAATGAATAATAGATGCAATCAATTGTGCCATGCCAGCACAGTAGTATTAGTAGTTTTCGACTATAAAATAAAAATTAGCATCCATTCAAATTATTTCTTTGAATATATCTATCTTTATAAATCTAGACTAAAAATGATTCTATTTTAGTGACAACTGTGAGTCAGTCATAGAGATTTGCATGCTATCGAATAAAGTATTAAAAGTTGGTGGTATGATCAATGATATAACTCTCGGCTCGTGATTTACTTTCTTTTCGAGGCCTATCTTTTTAAAACCAGTTATTTCAGATGTTTGGATTGCTAAGGTTTAAAGAGATAGTAGACAAGTTTTCATAAGAGCATTATCAAGTGTTGATGAGCTGGATTGCAAGTCTTTGGCGAAGGAACTTTTCTTTGTCGTCCTATGACCAAAGATAGTGTTTCCAGTTTTAATTAGTCCCTGAGCTTGAGGACCAAAAGTTGTTAGGTCATGATGATCGGAACGAAGTAATATTTATCTGACATGCACATATATTTGCAACATTTGTATTCTTTTATAGCTTCTCACGGTGGTTCAGGTGCGATTAAACAATTTTTTAAGAAAAGCATATTTAGTTTCAAAACTTTGAGGAACTCTTATATTCATATCATGCTTACAAGAAATATTGTTTAATAAAAATATTAACCCAAAATTCTCTGTGCCTTAAAATACACTGCTAACTTCAGATTTACAAGAAAACAAAGAAATAATGGAAAAACTGGCAAGCAATACTATCCAGTTCCAGTGGAGGTATCGGAATTTGGTCTCTAATCGCATTATCTATTTGCGGATTCCTCTAATATAGGCATGCGACCACTTCTTTCATTCTCCCGATTATTTACTAGTTAAGGCTTTTTTCTTTTTGGATCAATACTAAGGTACACTCCTCTTCTCAACCAAGCAGAAAGATAGGGATAGGTCTATGATATCATTGATCATACCTTTCTGATTTATACAATGGTTCAGGACATAATTCTTAAGAGGAAGCTTCATTAAAACCTTTGTTTGAAACATGACAAGTAATTAGCTTTACTTTGACTATATGATTAAACATTAACTCGATCATATAACACAAATGTGCTAGATGTCATAAACAGGCCGATTGGGCAAACATGCCTTCAATACATCAGGAGCAGCGAAGAGCGAGCATCCCGAAACGCTTCATACAACTTTATATTTATTATTTTTTTGTAATCGATATTTTCGATAATGAGTCTCATAATTAATGAAGAAGGTCACTGTTAAGTCTTCCATACTTTACGACAAAGACTCTACTGAAGCACCCAATCTTTTTACGATCGTTTGTTTATATCGTCTGAGTGCTACCAGTTGGGCAGTGCCATAAAAATTGTCTTTTTATCTTTCTTTTCTTTTTAAAAGGATTTCTATTTTTTTCATTTCATTGACAAAAGTTAAAAATATATATTCTTTAAAATATTTAATAATATTTGAACTTTCTTTTTTTCATGGATTCTTGAATTTTGTTATTTTACTTTCTTCTCTATTTTTATAATCTAAAATTAGTATTCATTTATTATCTTATATCTGATCTTGACATACCAATTTTATTGTATACAAAATGGATAATTTAATTTTAGGATTTCTTGCACATATTTATTGGATTAAATAATTAACTTATTTTACAGGTGGAATAAAATATATATATTTATATATCCCTGTCCAGTATTTTGGATCGCCCTTAACAATTTAATTATATGCTGATTTCGACTTGTTAATTGTATGTTTTAAATTTTTTTTTAAATAAATTTTGTGTTTGATTATTATAGTTAAATAGATAATATCATAAATTATTATTGGAATATTTTATTAAGTTTATTAGTCCTCATTTTAGATTTATTTAAAACCATTTCAGGAATTTTAAAATAGATTCTCTGGAGGAATAAACCATTATTTGGAATCTATCTTTCAGCTCATTATAACATGTAATGTAATAAATGATATTTTTCTCTCTACTTCTGTTGGTTGGTTTAGACATCACTAGATTCTTATTTTTGGGTTGCAGACAATTCCTAACAGTTGAGTGGAAAAGCTTTGATATCTATATTTTGTGATCAATAAGTTGTACCTTGACTTCCTCGTCGACTATATAATTTATTGAGCGGAAAGAATAATAAACTTTTTAATAAAAAGTATTTTATACATAAGATACTGTTAATTAGCAAAAGATATTAGAATTTTATACCTTTTTGAATTTATAAGATACCTATATTTGTATTGTATTTAATGATTCTTTTTTTAAAGCCTGCCCAACTCTGGTTAGTAACAATATTTACATAATTTCACCTTGGTCGTAACATTTTATTAGTATAAAAGTGTGTAAGGTAAATATATATTTGTAGCTATCATTAATGAATGATTAAATTTAAATAAACTTTAATGTTATTGTTTTTTTAAAGTGGGAAACGTATTAGTTAAAGATAATTTTTCTTATCCGAAGTACATATAAAGGATTATTAAACTTTTGATTTTCATAAAAATATAAAAAATTCAAATAACTTAACTAAAAAAATAAAGTAAGGAATTGGCGAAAACTTCACACCCAGTCGAGGAATAGCAGTAACTAAATAAATTTCTTCATAGATATCAAGTATAAATTTTATCGAAATTAAATTGTACATGCAGGCTTAAATGTGTGTAAAAAGTGAGTAAGGCCCAAACTGGTATGAACGAAAGTCTTAGAAAAAAAGAGCCATCGTCGATCAGTTCATTACTCATAATAATAAATTTTATTACAATTAAGATTAAAGGGCTGTCTTGGCTATAATATTATGCTTAAAAATTCGACCATTTAAATCAATTTTTGTTTTGTCAGGTATATAATTTATATCAAAATACAATAATTTATATGATTTAAATGAATTGTTTGAAAAATAAAACGTTAACTTATATTTCGCGATTTTTACATTTTTAAAATATATAATCATGTTATCTTAATTTTCTTAATCACGGATTTTGTCTGAGGTCCCCAGTTAGGTGGTAAATTAGGAAAACGGCACATATTAAATTTCATCGATTTCGGGATGGCTAAAGGGTGTGTTTTGAAATCCGCTTTGAATCTGAAAATAATGGTTTTAGTTTTATATTTTTTGTAAATATATTATAACCCTCTATCTTTAAACTAGTGCATTAAAAATTAATATTTTCCATGCAAAAAAATAGCTAATGGAAAAATAAAAAACACTTTAAAATTTTCCGAGTGCATCGTGAATGATTAAGTGCATTTTTTATTTCCTAAAGTTAATCATCTCATCTAAAATGGGCAATGTTTATGGAAAAATATAGCTAGTTAAATATTTTTAAATTCTTTAATTGTAGTGAATAAACAAAAATAGAATCATTTTTAGTCACTCTTTTTCTTTAGTAGCTTTTAAAATATATTGCAAATAAATTTTGGCTCTCGTTTATTATTCCGCTGAATTTAAGTGATAGAGGTTGAGTTTGTATGAAAATATTTTATGAGCCAACTCGAGACCCGAAAATTAAATATTAGAAATATCTTCAATAATCTTAAAAATTCATCAAAGTGTAAATCAGGATCACATGTCATTTTTCATTTCCCAAATTAACAATTTCCTATGATTGTGATTTGTATTCTAACTTAAAAATCTATCACCTTTATACATCACTCTAACAGATTAAATAAAATATATATTATCTGTTATAAATTTATAAAATAATTTCAATTGATAATTTTTGTTTTATCAAAGAACTATTCAAAAAAATTTCAATAGGTACCGTTTCGGGCTGGATTAACTAATTTGTGCTCGGGTTGGGTTCGAGCATAAAAAATAAATTCGGACGCCGATCGGGATCGGGTTTGGGTAGAGAAAAAATCATTTTGCAGGGCTTTAATTATACATAATTATTTTAATCAATTTACATCATATTAACTATATCAACGTAAAAATTCAATCAACATTTAAATCGGACTATATTAAATAAATATTTTAGGAAGAGAAATTATTTCAATTATGATTGTTGCATCCTATATCTTCGATTTTACTACTTCCGTCTATTTGATAATTAAGCTTGATCTCTCGACTGCTTAAATATTTTATGACAATATTTCCATTTTTTAAGATTTATAGGCCATGTCTAGGAAGATCACATAATGAACAATTTTAGTTGACTGTATCTAGAATCCCTAATTTGACGATGCTCAAGGATATTCTCTGACGTAGATAGTAACTCTCATTGAGATCCTTTGTCCTAGCTCTTTAAAAAAAGGCTAGGGTGTGAGAGTTCAAATGTCGTGGCGATGGATAGGAATGAAGTAGGTAACGATGGCAAGTTTATTCAACTCATCATCCGTGAGATACGATTTATATTGGCGCAAGAGGATTAATACAGAAAAATTATAGGTCAGGAATTCACCTTCTCCCAAGGAATCACTTTAGATTCATCTGAGCATTTACCATAGGAAATGTATAGTTCAATGGGCTCAAGGGTTGAAGAGATAGCGGCAGATTTTAATGTGCTGGCTAGAGTATCGTTGCATTTTGAGTGTCTGAAAAATCTAACTCAGCAACGCTTGCAATGCAGAGAGGTGGCTTTTGGAGTTGTCGGATATATAGCAGAGAAGGTAATAAGGTATTACCATATCACAATTAAGTCTTAAATCGATGGCTTAACGTAGCTCATCGATGCTTAACAGTTGGTCAAGGTTTTCGATTGGAAGGCTTCAGAAATTTGTCGTTCCTTTCTGAGATAGAAAATAGTAGGGAATAGTTCTCGAATTGGTTCCTAGATTTAATTTATGCAACGGAGTTGCCAACTAAAGAGTTATCCTAGTCATTCTTATGCGCGGGAAAGGTGTGTCGATTAAGGATAAAGATTTCCAAAGATGGGTCGCCTGTAGAAGCAAGAAGTCAGAGTACTTTGTGAGTGAAATTATGATGGGCTAACATGATAGACGTGAGGATATGAATGGGTCACCTTATGCCAATGCCACTGGATTTTGTCGGTAAGGTAGCTTATAACCAAGCTAGGTCTCTAAATTAAAGATTGAGTATCCATTCTGTTAGGCACATAATTTCAATCTCATGTGTAGAGGGAATGAAATCATATTGAAAGATTCACGAGGAACGCAGTGCCTACAGAATCTTTGAAAACAGATGGTAGTTCAATACGATGCTCCTATAGACGCTGAAATGAATAAACATTTGCCACCATTATCTACTAACCTTAAATTCTTACCCATAATCGACATGACATTAACATTGCTCGGCCCTCATGCCCTAGCCTTTTTTAAAGAGTTCGAACAAAGGATTCCAGCGAAAACCGATGATCCCAACAAATGTTACTAGGATCCCTTCGCATCGCAAAAATAATAATATCTTAGCTTTATATTGTCAATCAATGAGACCCCATAAATTTGGGATTGTGAATTGTTATTACGGTCAATTAAAAGTATTCATGATATCAACTAGCCGGCACCAATAAATCATCAAAAGTTATAATATTGTCATAAAACATCAATAGGCAGTCGAGAGATCAAGCTTAATTATCTAGATGGCAGCAGTAAAATAGGATGCTTAAAATTATTTATCTCCCTAAAATATTTACTTATAATAATCGATTTGAAATGTACATTTATAAGCTTTAAAAATAAATTTTTCACTTTAACAACTGCCTCTTCTTTCCCTCACCAAGTGTGTGGTTGAAAAGTAATAACCCGCCTGCCCCTGAATGTTTACTTAAAAACAAAGCTGACAAGTGGACAATTATTACTAGCCTAAAGAAAAGACCATTAATGTAATAATTGATGGGGTGGAGATAAGCCGTACCATATTATTATTTAAAAACTCAATTCCTTATAAGGCTTACCCAAATGAGCGTTTTTTAAGAAAATATTTAAACTTCCATGGTTAGGTATATAATGAATGATAAAAGGGGTATAATAATTTTAGACTATAATGATAGAAATAATTGTTACTTAAAATTTTGACTAATTATTCGTTTGGCTATATCGCTTTTAAGTTTTTCGGGATCGATTTTATTCAATAGAGCCTGATTTCATTTTGATTAATAAAAAAATAAAATAAAACTTTGACAATCGATATTTGCCGATATCAAATAAATTTTATAATAATCTTTTTTTTTAAACTATCATTGTTTTTAGGAAGTAAATACTTTAATTCTTAATTTTTTTATGGTAGAAGTTTGATATTTTAAATTTTTCATAAGGGCTAAGTATAAAGGGATAAATTAAATAAATATATATTATAATATTAAAATAGCCTAACCCAACACGTGAATATTCCCCATAGTACGTTAAGAGGGGCATCGGTTTTTATCGATCCAGGGTCACAATGAGATATGCTTACCCTATAACCTGCATTGAGTATAGCGGATCTATAAAAAGTTATGTTTGTTTATGATGCATTTATTGACAAGCTAACTTAAGATTCGTTTGTTATATGATGAGGTAGCCAGATTAATATATTTTTTATTATTAAGGAGATACTACCGAGGTAAATTTTTAAATTTTATTTATAACTTTTTTACGATTCATATAATTTGGTTTAAAAGAATGGAATTAAATATCAACAAATCATTGTATGCTTGTAAAATTATCACTAATTTCATCGTATGAACATCGATAAGAAAATTTCTTAATTATTTATATTGCAATTTAAATTGAACCTAGATTGTTATAAAATTGAATACATAATTAGTTTAGTCTGAGACAATTTAAAATATATTTAAAAAAGCAATTCGATGTGACTTTACAAATCAAGAACAAGATTAAACCCTTTAAATTTCGGAAGTCACAAAATATCAAATTTCATTTGTTAATGTAACTAATTGGGATTATCATTTAATATTCATTTTTTGTTGTATTATAATATATAAAATTGTATTTAATAGAATTCATTTTTTATATAATAATTCGAGAATTCTTATAAAGGGCAAGAGACAAAAGTTTTTGGACTTAATTCTACTTAGAATCGCATTTTTCTACCCGACCTGAACATAAGATAAATCTGTCAAGGAAGGGCAATTTAAACACGAGTCGGTTGGTGCATGAAAAATAATGAATATATTAGGAATGAATAATGATAATTAACAAAATCGATAATATGGTGTATATTAACAAGAAATAAATAAATAAATAAAAAGAATAAAAAGAATAAAAAGCCTTGAAATTAATGTAAAAGATAGTTTTTTCTTTTATATATGATTTTTTTTATAATATGATTTTTATTCATTGTATTGCGTTGAATTGAATAATAAACGGTAAAACAGAGTTGTTAAAGTAGCGCGCTAACTTTTTTGGTAGCTATAGCTAAAGCGGCAATTTTTTTGTAATTATTTAATTTTTTAGCGCGCTACTTTTTTTGAAAGTAGCTAAGTAGCCGCTACTTGGCTACTTTTAAAAAATATAATGAAGGTAAGTATAAACATGAAAATTTAAATATAATATCATAATAAATTATAATTTTTATGATTTATTATTAATTTTGAAATTGAAATATAATTACAATTTGTAATTTATATTTTCATTTGTATTATAAACCTAAATCACGTGTTAATAATTTAAAATGTTATCGCAGCTATAATACAAATTTCTATTCCCTAGATTTGAAATTTTTTTTAAATAAATATATAACCAAAACTGGTTTCAAATTTATTTGTTTAAAATGTAAAAAAAAATATTTCCTCAAATCAATCATAAGCTATAACCTCAAGAAACATCTAAAGGTAAATTGTCATTTTTACATTCTAATAATATTTATTTTATAAGACTGTTCATTAGTTTTAAGGAAATGGAGAAACATCTAAATAATTTTGGTATAGGCGACTCTACATCCAAAAAGACTAATTCAATTCAAACCAAATTAATTAATAATGCAAATGACAATATTTCTCAGAAATTGGTTGATAAAGTTATTGTTGATTTTATAATTTATACTATACAGTTCAGCCAATGTCCTTAGTTGATAATACATCATTTACCATGATGATTAAAACTCTAACCCCTGGTACAACAATTATATGCCGCCAGACATTAATGAATAAAATAGCAGATAACTTTAAAATGATGAAAGATGTTCTAATAGTAGAGTCATCAGAGATATCATATATATGTACCACGAGAGATAGTTGGACACAGAAGGTAAAAACTTATTTATATTTATAAATTGATCTGATTAAATATTTTTGAGCTTATTTGGGAATCACAGGCCATTGGCTAGACCCTAGGACATTAAAAAGAAGATTGTGGCATTAGCCCTCAAAATGATAATAGGATGCCATGCAAATAAAATTATTGAAATCTATAAAAATATGTGTATAAGATTAAATACGCCCTTACCCTCAGGTGCTAGTGTCGAGAGATTATTTAGTAAGGCAAAACTTATACTTTCTGATCGTCGCTCTAGACTTGGGGATGATAATATTGAAATGATTTTATTATTAAAATGCAACAAATTACCATAAATATTTATTTTTATTACATAAATTTTTTTATAATCAAAACTAACTATATTTTAATATTTATAAATGTTGATTTTTATATATTTACTATACAATAACGTTATAAGCAAAAAATAAATTTGTTTGTAAATTTTTTTAATAAAAATTAGCTAATAGCGAGCTACTTTTTTTTGACAAATAGCGATAGCGGTAGCGCGCTACTTTTAAAAGTAGCGTTTAACAACTTTGCGGTAAAATAAACATTTATATATATAGTAAAAAATAAATCATATAAGAAATAAGAGCGCGAAAGGAAAAAATAAACCATATGTAAAGTAAGAAAGTGAATTCTATATTCCTAACTAGTGTTGTCAATTTTCCTGGTTGTAAAAATTATGATCCAATTTAAATTCTCGGGGCTGCTCTGAGAATATGTGCATAAACCCAAACTTGAGCAAACCCCATGTTCAAATCCCGAGCAAGTACCCTGAGTATGAACCAGAAACAAACTTGTAAAAAATCTGGGCAAACCCCGGGTATAAATCAGAAGTACGAACCCTGAGCAAAAACCATTTGTTTTAAGTTGCTTTTTTTTGGCTTAGACTCCATAATTAAGGGGGGAAGTTACCTCCAACTGAATAGATCAATTGATTAGGATATTAAACGTATATACTTTCATAAGGTCAAGAAAAGAACAACTTAAAATAAATGGGTTTTTGTCCAGGATATGTGTGTCCGGTTCGTGCTCGGGTTGCTCAGGGTTTGTACTCTGGGTTTGCTCCAAGTACAAGCACCAGGTTTTCTTAGGTTCTGTACTCGGGATTTGTGCTCAGAGCAGACCTAATCACCAACAAATTGGGTTGTAATTTTTACAATAAAATAAATAAACAACACTATTCTTAACCAACGCTAAGTTCAAAATAAAATTTTAAAAATAATCTAAAATGAACAAATTTATAAAGTCATATATAATCCAGCCAAGATTTATTGATATTAAAATTCTAAATTGTGACAAAAATATTTGCAAACCCAACCTACCTGAAAAAAATGGGTTGGTGGGTTGGGTCGGATTTTGCAGACCATTATTTCTTTATTTATAAAATTTAAAGCAAAATACTTTATGACCGTAGATTTGGGAACGCTCATTTGCAAACTACTTGTCATTTTATCCATTTTGTAATACAAAGGAACATCTGGCAATTCCTAATTTTTTTTAATAAAACCAAGTATATAAATAGGAGGTATAAATAACAAGTTCGGCTTTAAGTCGACAGGAAAAATAAGTTGGGGAGCGCGGACTAATCTGGAATTCAGTTTAAATGAGGTTAAGGGGAGAAAAATGAAATACACGAAAAAAGTAAATTTTAAGCATTTATAATATTAAGAAAATTTAATTTACTATTTGAAAAGATAGGTTTTATCAATAGAAATACATTCGAAATATTTAATTATAGATGTGCTTCTCATTATATTTAATCAGCAAAAAGTGTAAAAGAGCAAAATATTAAATAATTTAGAAATACTCATTTTATATCTATTAAAACACCATCCTAATGAGGGTACGCAGAACAGAACACACTAAAAGAAAGTATACAAACATTTAAGTCAATCGTCAAAACTGCATCAAATTTGTAAAAAAAAAACTCCATAAAATATTGACAAATATTACCAAAAGGTTATAAATATCAGCCTCAAACCATCTTTTAAAGATATTAAATTCAATCACAAAGTTCTATGATAATGCAGGACGCAAAAATAATTTATGGGCCAGGGCGATCAACCTTGTCAAAATTTTCTACGGGCTGGTTCAGGCTGGGCTGACCCAAGAGTTTCACTAGTATATATTAATACTAAAATAAGTAAGACAAGTGGCCATGCAGGACAGGTCATAATACCATTACGGATATAGAAAAAAAAGCATTACGGAGATTTTAGCTTTGACTATTATATTAGAATAAATTGCTTTACTTTATTTCCGCAGCATTTTATTCAGAAAAATATTATGCAAGCCTGAAGATTTTGGTCATAGATGGCACGCAGGTGTAGACAATACTTTTCTGGGTAAAACATTGAGTTAACCGTTTTTAAAAATAGACTCATATCGAGCCGTTTAACAACACTACTCACGACATTTATTATTTTTAATAATGTAATAAATTAAAATTTAACATATTAATTTTCAAAACGTTCCGGTGTAACGTGTGAAAGTGATTACAGTGAGATTTCGATTCTCACACGATCAAAATCTCACGGCTGACACCGTGTGAAAGTGATTTCATGAGATTTTGATTTTTATCGCTTCAAATACATTGGGGGCCATTTAAATCATCAAAATCTCACGGCTATTCAATATTTCAAAATCTCATAGATATTTTTAAAATCTCGCATTATTAATTTAAATATACTTTTAAAACGTCAGATTTGAATGAGGCTGTCAAATTAGAAATATTTCTATATAATACAATTTAATTTGAAATTCTTTTTCATTATGAAGTAAATTTTTAACAATATATTTTTTATTTCAGGAATATTTTAGCTCAAATTATAATGATATATATGACTTCCTAAAATGTTCTAAAGTTCCAATGCACCGCCTTCAAGATTATAGAAAATCAATTATTCTATGGGGAAAGTAAATTTTAGATATGTCATGATTAATTTATTAAAATTAGCCATTATAAGTTTAATGCAATATATTATTTTTTAACATTAAAAAATGCTCATGATTATTATCTTTTTTTCATCTAAAATTAATTATAGCTACAAATGTAAGTGTATATATATATATATGTAAGAACATTTGATAAAATTTTACATATAGGCATTATTAAATGCTATTTTACAACTAAAATTTAATTTAGATTATCACATAAAGATGAAAAGTAAATGTTAGATACTTTTATTATAATGTATATTGGGCTTATAAATGATTGCATAATTAATTTATTAAAGTTAGGTATTATATATATACAACTAAAATTGTATGACAAAATTAAGTGCAGTTTATTATTCTAGCCATTGATTATATATATTTTTTCTGCATCACAAATATTATTATATATATAATTTAATATTATTTTAGAAGAAAGAAAAGTTATACTGACAGGAGATGAACAAAAAAAAAATTAAAACAATACATGAGGGGGGTGTATCTACAGTTGCAGGTATTGCTATGGGAGGGCATTTGGGGATTAATAAAACTAATCAAATAATAGCTGAAAAGTAATGAATTATCTTTTGAATGATAATCTTATAATTATTTTTTGAATAATAGCCTTATTAATTATTTTTAATGTTTTTATTATAATTAATGCATTGCCTTTAGATAGTAGTTCCCAAAATGGCTTTTATGATGAAATTATTCCACTTGCTACGGAGTTTGTTGATCCAAACTCTCCCAGAGGTATTGTATTTAGGATATATATTTGAATTAACTTTTGAATGATAATCTTATAATATTTTTTAAATAATAGCCTTATAATTATTTTTAATGTTTTTATTATAATTAATGCATTGCCTTTAGATAGTAGTTCCTAAAATGGCCTTTATGATGAAATTATTCCACTTGCTACAGAGTTTGTTGATCCAAAGTCTCCCAGAGGTATTGTATATAGGATATATTTGAATTATTTTTTGAAAATAAAGCAGCACGTGTGTAACTTATAGATAGTGGTTCCCAAAATGTTGAGTTTGAAGATAAAAATATTCAGCTTGACAGGGATTTTATCAATCCAAACTCCCATAGGTAATGTTATTTCTGATATATATTTGATTTATTTTTTAATTTATTACGTATACAGAATTGGATGATGATATTTTGATAATAAATAAATTAGAAAATATCCCTAGATATTTTTTTCCTACAACAAAGGTATGGAAAAAATATCATGCTAAAATATATGGTCTAAAACCTCCCAAACGTTGTCGGGATGTAGACTATGGGAAACAACTTGGTGAACCCACCATCCTGGTGCAAATTGAAGGTGATGGGAATTGTTTTTATAGGTAAAACATATTAATATAAAATTTCATTTTATTCTACTTTATATAATTTAGGGCGATTAGTGTAGAGCTTACTGGAGCTCAAAATTCCCATGTTATTCTCAGGCAATGGTTGGCACAATTTATGCTAACATCCGAGATAAGAAAGGTAATTGAAAATTATCTTTACGACACGAACAAAAAATAGACATAAAAACTTATGTCTTAAATAATGTAATGACACAGCAGATATGGGCTTCTGACACAGAAGTCAGGGCGATGGCCACAATGTTAAATACGGCTATTTTTACTTATATAAAATATAATGATAATTTTGTATGGGCCCGATATGACCCATTTTATATTCGCGACAATATTAAAATATTTAATAATAATTTTATTTATATAAAAAATGGGGGGAGTCATTTTGAAAATGTTTTAGATTACGATTTATCTTCCATCTAATCACTATTTATTATTTTTATTAAAAAAAATTTTTTATATAAAAATATATAAATATATTTCATTCATATTATAATTTATCGCCTTATATATATATTTTTTATGAAAGTTGTAGTTTATAAATAATATTCAATTACATTCTGATATGCAATATATGATAATAATTATATTTTTCCATGATGTTTTTATTAAATTTAAAATTATGTATAAATATTTATATCAATAAAGTTCTTCGTCTATTTTCTTATACCAAATAAAGTTTTATCTAATATTTGTGACCCAATTCAGTACAAAATAATATAGAGATGGATTATCTTTAAAACATTATATTAGGTAAACAAAATAAGCATTACGATTAAGCCATTTAGGCTAAGAATTTATCTTACTGTTTCTTTGCAGTGATTTTTAGAGGGTTGGGTAGAAAAGGCGGTTTGCCTCTAGTAAATTTTCTGTCATATATGAGCTTTGTCTAAATTAATGTCTATCGAGAAGATGTACTTTGTATAAGAAATATCATGGGATCGGAGTATTTGGTTATTTTATAAATTTCATGTTGTGTAAATTAGCATGTTAGTAAGGATCTCTTCCCTACCTAAATATTGCTAAACTTTAATTATGATATTGATTGGAGCCTCCTATCAATAATCTGAACTAGAGGTCTGGATTGGGTGGTTTTTTCGCCGTACTTTAAAAGAAATATTTTCAACATTGGGCGAGAGGGTTAAATATTTTGGGCGAATTTGATATTTTTCAGGCGAAATGAGCAGAACAGTAAATAGTTTTTCATAATATTCCATATTATATGTTTAATTAAAAATACATTAAAATAAATAAAGAGCCAAACCAGCCATAAAATAATTTTAAAACAAAATATATATAAAAAAAATTATAAGTGAGAACGAGGGCAGGTTAAATAAATCTTTTCGCTAAAAACCCGCCCATTACAGACCTCTAATCTGCATATCTTATCACACACTATTTGGTATGATATGCAGACTAAAAATATAAATTTAAAACTATAGAGAGGCGGCGACTATTTAGATAAGATAGATAAAAAAAACAATTTAAATAAAAAATGTACGCTACATGGATTTGAACCCGCATTTTGAGGATAGGTATTGTAAGTCTTATTAACTAGACTACCCACCACACCTTGTAATGCTTAATTTTATTTGTTATATATAATCTACTTTTTAATTAAATTTATATATATCAAAAAGAGAAATTTTATTATATTGTTAACTTTAATGATGTTAAAATAAAGATGAGCTCTTGAAATGAAACAATATATATTTTACAAAGCATTACTAAAATATTATTTTAAAACATAGATTATAATTAAATAGTTAGGTGTGATACAATTATTGTCTCTATATTTATTTTATATCCTTAACTTTAATTATGTTCCTTGATTTTACAGCTCTCATTATTCGACTTAATGATCTTAAAAAAATAAAGATGAGTTCTACCGGAACTATTCCTGAAAAGTTAGCAGAATCAGTTTCCGTTTTGCCTTTATTCTATACTTTTCCCAAGTTCCGTTTCCTAAAATGATGATGGCCAATGATCTCTTTCTCGTTAATAAGGATAAAAAAAGAAGAAAATATGAATTACTTCTGATATTAACGTCAAAATTCCTAAAATCCTCTCCTGGGTACCCAAATAGCTTAAGTCGGGTAAGCTTTTCAACAGGTCATCAACAAACGATTTATCATGCAAGAGTCCGTTCCATACGGGACCACCTAACTATATAAAAAATTACATAATAAGATTACCTATTATAATTATAAATATTTATCATTCAATTGATATATTATCTTTAATTTTTTAATTTAAAAAAATGTAAATTTTGCATTTATAAGTAATCGTTTTATTCCGGCTATTTATATTTATAAATATATTTTTTCTTTTAAAATGAAATTCTCTTACTATCAAAGAACTTGAGCATATTTGGCAAACGTTTGATACAGAAGGTCCCGAAGAGTGTTTAAATCTTTTTAAAAAATATAAATTCAAAAAATAAAAACATTTATATCACATCCTATCTTTTATTTTAGAAATTAAAGCATGGTAACTAATTTTATTTTGAATGAAATCTTAGAATAACATTATTAAATAATAAATCTATAGGAATCAAATGAAGAAACATATAAAATATAAGGAATTAAAATCTTCAACTACGAGTGGAGACCTGCATGTAAGGCCCGGAACGGGTCAAAAATGGTATGATTTTAAAAATTCGGGGTGGGCTGGCTTTAAAACTTAAAAATTTGGGTGGGGACTGGCATTATCCCTTATCATTTTAAAATAAGAGTCAGGTAGGTTTTTAAAATTAAATCATAACAATTAATCAGTTGCAATATGATATAAAGAAATGTTCAGTATTAATTTTCTGCTAAATTTATTTTTTAAAAAATCTGGTCTAGGCCAAGCCTAAAATTTTGATTAGTCTGAAGATTTTAATCGTTAAAAAAATGTAATTCCATCGATTACCTACTTATTATTATTGTCCAACAAAGCCAAAGGTTGCATATAATAAGAGTGACAGCCGTTACAATGGTAGACTAGAGATCTTTTACTGCAATAAAATTTAAAAATAAAATTATGGGTGGGCAAAAATTTAACAAACTAATAAAAGACTCCCAAAAAAATTGATTTATTTTAAATACAAAATCACATTTTTAATATAAAAAATTTTTAAATCATTTTTGATCAATCCAACCTTACATATTATGAGTATATTAGAATATTCAATAATCCCTTAACACGTATTAATAATAGAGGAAGCAAGTATGATGATAAAACCTAGGACTTAAATGGACTTGAGCCGCGCTCTCATAGACCCTAACGAATAGTCGAACGTAAAAATCGACGCTCACGCTCACCAACGGGACAATATACTTATTATGTTTGTTAGCGTGACTTTCCAAGCTGTGGAGGACTATACGTAAACTCTGAATTAGTAATGGTTATTATAAAAATTAAATTTTTGAAATTTTTTTGGATTTAAAAAAATCTTAATCGTAAACTTGACTTTTCTTTTTTTAAATTTAAAATATAATAAATAATTGAAATATTTTCTAATGCCATTTTCAGACAACATTTTTTCAAAGCGGTTTCTTAGGCACGTTTCCGGTATTTATTTTAAAATTTCCAAATAAAGGAAGAAAATTTGTTGAATTAATTTTTTTTGTATAATATTTAAAAAAACTTAGTAGTCGTCAAAAAATCTTAAAATATATTTCAAAAAACTTTGGGCCGAGTTCAAAAATATATAAATTTGAATTTATGAGACTTGAAGATAGCTTGATTAGGTAGATTTATACCAGATACAACGATTCGAAACTAATAAGGTATCCGCCGATACCACTGATATCGTTACCAATTTTTTAAAAAAAACTTAGAGGTCTATTTAAACACAAATATTTTTTGTTTGTTTGTAACTTAAGCTATATAAAAAATGCATTTCAATTTTAAATGAAGCATTGTAGTCTTAATTTATTTTTCTGGTATGTTTATTCTTTTTTTACTTAAAATTTAATTGCCCAATAAAAAAAAGAAATAAGATGATGAATTAGCAACGTTTCCTTCGTCATTAACTTAGATTTTATGATAGTTGTGTTATTATTTAAAAAGTAAAATATTAGTCGTACAATAAACATAAACACTGTGATGGAGTATATTTTAAATTTAAATGATTTCCTTCTTCTTTTTTAAAAATCTGTTTAGAAATTTGAAGATCAATTTTTATCTTCTAAAGTCAATTTAGAAAAATATATATAAGGGTCAATTATTATCTTGGTTGGGTATAGGTTAAAATTAAAAGTATCGGTTTATTCTAGCATCGGTGCGCCTTATATTATAGTAAATGTAACTGGATTTAATCAGATTATATTTTTTCATATCTGAGATAAAGTTTTATTTAGGGTTTCTTATAATATATTTATTAAAAAAAATCCGTAATAATTTTTGTTTCATAAATAAACATCAATTTATCAATAAGATTCGTTAATAGTAGTTAGAGCCCTGCACCCGGCTCTCAGACCTTTTTTCGGGCTCAGGTCGGACTTTAAGAGGTAGCCCGACAGGAGGTCCGAATAAATATTAGAAATATCCTCAATAATTATCTTGTTTCATCGAAACGTCAATCAGAATCACTTCGTCTAAGACTTAGGACTGCACCGATCCACAATGCCAAATCAATCATAATTCGATCGGCCTCTTTTAAAATCGCTAAAAAATTGCTGGAATTATTTAAATCGGTAAAAAGAATGAGAAAGTCACTTATTTTATCTCGCAAACACATATGGTCACAAGATACAGGGTCTCAAAGGTGAGAAAAATGGCGATTTTTACACTTACAATGTAGGTAAAAAAAATATCAAAAGGTCTAATGAAAGGAGAAAAAAATTGGCGCCAATTAGAGTCTTTAATTTATGGTTTGCGTTTTTACATGTGTATTTAAAAAATTAGGGGAGTCGATTTTCGAAAATTTTTTTGCCTTTTATTAGTGTTGTTAAACGGCTAAGCCGATGAGGCTAAGCCGCCACTCGAGTCGAGTTTTTAGTCGTAATAAACGGCTCAGCATTGAGCAGCTCAATCAGCCGTTTGAGCCGACTCCTGAGCCGATTTTATATTTAAAATATTTTATATATAAAAGAAAGATATCAAATTTATAAAGAATTATACAAAGTTGTCAAAATATACTTTTTATTTGGTGTTACTGAATTATATATTTTAACCGACCCATAACAGCTTTACCCCAAGGTGACATATATTATAAACATCGTTATTGCGTGGCTTCTAGTATAGCTATAGATGTCGGATAAATTTTATTTTATAACTAATACATTACATTAAGGAACATGTGTGCCAAATTTTGAATCCTGAGGATATGTAGTAAAAGCAAAATATACAAGAGAATGATTTTTATATTTTTTGGGTAAAAAACAGTTTTTTGACAAAATAGAAAAACCAGGTAAGTTTTTTGAAAGATGAACATAGGTATGAAATTAGATATAAAAATACATCTTCACACCAAATTTAAAATCTTTGTGCTCAAGGGTTAAAAAATTATTCGCGTTAACATTGTTACCCCGTCAATCGCTTTACCCAGGTCTCCCCTACATAGAGAAAATTTTTTAAGAGATATATAATATAACATGATATTGCATCAAACTTTAAAATTTATTTAAAATCTTTTACATTATTATTTATCTCATAAGAATTCAAGTAAAATTTCTTTTACCTGAGATTATACCTATATAAATCCTGCATAATAATTTAATTGTATGATAAATCAATTGAAATTGACGCAATAATTTGTTTTTTATTAATATATTTTCGAATATTATAATTTTATATATGTATAAATAATGTAAAAAATATTATATAAACAATATTATATAAACAATTTAAATAGTATAATACATAAATTATTTATTCCCAAATATTATCGGTAATAGTAAAAAGATTCACATCCCACGAATTTAACGACAGCGTCTGTTTAAGAACGGATGAAGACATCCTATTTCTCTTCTTAGTCATTGTATCGACAGCTCTAGAGAAAGTTCTTTCACTTGATACGGATGTAGTTTGTTGTGCCATAAAATCTTTAGCTATTTTGGACAACCTTGGAAAACGATGAGTATACCGAGACCACCATCCCAAAACATTCTCGGTGGTCTGTGCAACTGGGTCTGATAAATAATCCTCTATTTCCCCCATAGCAGGATTCACGGCTTCTTGGGCACAGCTAAAAATGAATATATAATTTATATATAAGTTAATAAATACTTACGTTCGCAATTCATTAAGTATATTTACTGACATTAAATGAGATTCATTTTCTTCATTAGTAAAATTATATCTATCCAAATTATTATTATCATCATTATATTGAATAAATAAATCTTTCATAATATTCCGATGTATTCAAAATCGGCGGCAAATATTTTTTCTTAATCCTTGGATTAAGTATACCGCAAACGTAATTAGGAAATGATTCCATAATTACAATGGGGGTATTAGAATACCGATGGATGTTGCCACAAGGTGGAACAGCAAGTACATCATGATTACAGCCATTAATAAGGTATTTTTAATTATAACATTTAACATATTTTAATTTTTAATAGAATCTCGAGGCCGTTATCCAGCTAGCTAAAGATTACAGTGGTGATAAAGACTTTAGCTTAAACACCGAGGAATCTAAATTTTTGGTGCTTTTGGAACAATTTTTGTTTCCATTTTATAAAATAACCTGGGAAATAAGTGAGGAGAGCCACAGTAATATCGGTATGGCCAGGTTATACATGGATAAAATACAGACTAATTTGGAGTCTGTATGTAGATTTAGTACAAATAATTGTATTAAAAATGGGGCTACAAGAATGCTGGAAAAATGTAATAGTTACATTGTAATTATGGAATCATTTCCTAATTACGTTTGCGGTATACTTGATCCAAGGATTAAGAAAAAATATTTGCCGCCGATTTTGAATACATCGGAATATTATGAAAGATTCAAAGATTTATTTATTCAATATAATGATGATAATAATAATTTGGATAGATATAATTTTACTAATGAAGAAAATGAATCTCATTTAATGTCAGTAAATATACTTAATGAATTGCGAACGTAAGTATTTATTAATTTATATATAAATTATATATTCATTTTTAGCTGTGCCCAAGAAGCCGTGAATCCTGCTATGTTATCAGACCAGTAGCACAGACCACCGAGAATGTTTTGGGATGGTGGTCTCGGTATACTCATCGTTTTCCAAGGTTGTCCAAAATAGCTAAAGATTTTATGGCACAACAAACTACATCCGTATCAAGTGAAAGAACTTTCTCTAGAGCTGTCGATACAATGAATAGGATGTCTTCATCCGTTCTTAAACAGACGCTGTCGTTTAATTCGTGGGATGTGAATCTTTTTACTATTATATAAATCCTTAAATATTACAGGTATTACTTAGTGATGATGATAAGATTTGTGCGAAAAGGCATCTTGTCAATTTATGGAGACGAATTAAAAGCTTAACAACGCCGATTTTATCTGATGATATTAGTTCCGATGAAGTTATTGAACAAGAAGATGATTTAGATAAATTGATACAACTTAAAGAAAGGCAGGAGAAAATACTTAAAAGAGGGCCAACGATTGCTGAGAAAAGTATTGGAACAATAATTACTGGATTTAGCGATTATAAAAGATTAGATAAGAAGGAAAATATTTTGCATTTTTGGGAGTCTGCTAAGCTGGAACACCCTGAATTATATATTTTATCTAAAATCTTATTTGCTGTTCCTGCAACCCAAGTTAATTTTTCATATTTTCACATATAAATACATTTAACATAGGTTAGCGTTGAAAGATCTTTTTCACATTTGAAATTCATTCTTTCACCACATAGATCGAGGATGAGTGAACAACTCTTGGAAGATATTATGCTAATACGTCTAAATAAAATTTTTAAAATTGATACATGACTATATGCTTTGTATTTTTAACTATATTTGCCTATAAATAAAATAAAAAATTTATTTTTTATATCAAATTTATGTCTAGTTTTTTATTATGATTTAAATATAGAATTTTTTTTATCAACTCAAAAATTCTTGAACCCGAACCGAACCAAACCCGGGTTCAAAAATATTTCCCTGAACCGAACCCGAACCGAACCCATCTTTTTTTTATACCCCGAACCGAACCCGGGCAAAAATTTTGTCGGATTCGCATCCCTGCAAAAAACTAACTAACATCTCTTTTTCAAATACTTTTCTAAAAAGGCCATCCATATTGAATGTCATCGATACATGTTATATATCCATTTATTTTTTCTATTGAAATTTATGTTTAATATTTGCGTTTCTGATGAATTTGAATAAAATTCCGCTTCAATTTTATCTTGAGAAATTAGATAGGCTAAGCAACGGACTAAAT